TGCTTCGGATCGGCGATTGAAGTAAATCGGATCGGCGATCGGCAGCCGAGTCGGGAGAAGTCGTATCGGCGGATATCGGCAGACCAGTGCGCCTCCAACAAGGAATCGCAATGCAAATCGAACTGGATCAACTCGGAAGAATCGAACTGCGCCCTTGGGCGGTGGGGCCGGGACCAACCGCTGAGATAGGGACCAGCAGTACGACGGGCAGGAGGGGGCATGGGGAGGCGCGGCAGAAGAAGGGGAGAGGAGTAGGGGGAGGAGAAGGGAGGAGGAGGGAGGAAGGGGAGGACGAGACAGACTTTCTCTCGCGAGAGAGCCATACTTGTACACACTTCTCGATTCGCGAGTACCGTCCTTGCACAGGGGTCATGCTAATCTTCTCTGTATCGTTCCAGTTTTAACGGATGACCCCCGAAGGGAATCCAGGGGGAGGAGGAGGAGGAGGAGGAGGAGGAGGAGGAGGAGGAGGAGGAGGAGGAGCAAGAGGAGAAGGATGATGATGAGGGAGATGAGGGGGAAGATGAAGAGAAGGAGGAGGAGGAGGAGGAGGAGGAGGAGGAGGAGGAGGAGGAGGAGGAATATGATGAGGATGAGGAGGAAGATGGGAATGGGAATGGGGATGAGGCTAGGCGGGCCGAAGTCCGCCTGCCGCCGCAGCGGCCGTAGGTGAGTTAGGCCCCCATCCAGAGGCCACCACTCCGACTCGGGCCTGCAGTCCCGCTTAGCCCGCCTGAACTCCCTCGCCCATTCCACCGCGGAACGAGGAAACGCATTATGCGGTGGAATGGGCGAGCCCCAGCACGGGGACCTTCGCCCCGTACTGGTGGAAGCTGGCGGGGGCCTGGATCGCAGTCCCCGCGGGCACCTAAGGGGGCCCGCCAGCGGGCCCACCCGAGGACCAAACACCAGGAGGCGAAGACCCAACCTCACCCCCAGACACACCACCGTCGGCCCCCACCAGCTTCCTCTGAAGCCACTCAACGTCCACATCCTCGAGGCCCCTGAACGCAGACAGCTTGGGAGGAGGATTGGGAGCCGACGGGTGGAGGAACCCACGGAGCCTGGACCTCTGGGTCTCGAGCCCTAGGTGGGTGGGTCCGAACACACACTCCCGCGAGGCCCTTGCCAAGGGCCACTCTGAGTCCCGCTGCGGAGGAGGAGGAGGAAAAGAGGAGGAGGAGGAAAAGAGGAGGAGGAGGAAAAGAGGAGGAGGAGGAGGAGGAGGAGGAGGAGGAGGAGGAGGAGGAGGAGGAGGAGGAGGAGGAGGAGGGGGAAAAGAGGAGGAGGAGAAGGCGGCGGCGGCGTAACGATATCGGGCCGAATGTCTCGTCTGCCAAGAGACCACACAGCGTGAGACGCGAAGCGATATGCGGCTACGTGCGACCAGTCGTGCGTTTCACGAGTGGATGAACGACAGCCCCCGAGCTGACTTCGCTCGGGGGAGGAGGCCTGCCTCAACGACGGGTCGACGGCTCTCATCAAGGGGCCCGCGCCTCGTGGTGCTGCGGCTGTGGCGGCCGCGGCGCCAGCAACCGGCCGCCCTGTTCCGAGTGCTACAACTTCATCTATCGATGCACCGGCTCGCACATGCTGGTGGGATCCACTTCTCGAGCTGGTGGCCTTCTGCTGTCAGCGAGAAAGAGGTGCCTGTTCAACCGACCGTGATGGGAGCCGTGGTGACGGACTCATGCTGGACTGACTGGTGGCCTTGTGCTGACAACTGGACAGGACGACATCCCCACTACATGCAGGAGCTTGAGCTGGTGACGTATGTTGACAGCTGGCGGTGAGACAAGCTGGTGGCGTGAGTTTACCGCGAGCACACGAGACTTCAACGGCGGTCAAACGGAACGGAAAGAAGTGTGGCGCGGCACTTCCGGTGAGTTTGTTCTGACAGAACGTGTGAATTTCTGAGCGGGCATTATTTGGATGGGGCTCTGCTTGTCTGTCGAATCTTGTCGAATCTGGCTTTGCTGAGCGTGATATTTCCTGCTAGGGTTGCAAATAGTTGGCATCTGATCGATTCAGCTGCGACGACGGTGCAGGATGGCGCAGCCGTGCTTGCTACGACCTACAGTGTACTTCACAAGCCATCCTGGCCACGGACGCTCCATCGCACATGCGCCAGGCAATCCACCGCCCTCCACCTCTTTTGGCCTTCGCCTGGGAGCTGGCCACCCCACCAGCAGCAGCCTCAGACAGCGGGTGGCAACCGCAGCACCACGTGCTCCGAGTTCTTTTTCGTCACGAGCGGCACCCAGAGGACCCACCTGAGCCCGCTCGCGATCGGCCCCCACGTCGGTCGCGACTTCGCCGACAGGGGGCCCGACGTAGAGCCCCTCGAGGCGGACTTCCCAGGGCGCGGCCGCGGCCGAGGCCGCGGGGAGGGACTGCGCCTGCCTCCCCTGCGCCTGCCTCCCCCCCCCCTGGCGTTCCAACTTCTTCGCTGCTTGACGCTGGAGGAGGGGCGGGGGGTGGGGGGCGGAGGGGGGTGCTGCCACCTGGACTCCCTCCTGGTTGGCCGCGGTGCGCGGCGTCGTGGACGCGACGGCGGCATTCCGCTAGCGCGTGCGCAGCGGCAGGGGGAGGAGGAGGAGGAGGAGGAGGAGGAGGAGGAGGAGGAGGAGGAGGAGGAGGAGGAGGAGGAGGAGGAGGAGGAGGAGGAGGAGGAGGAGGAGGAGGACGAGCAGCACGGGGAGAACGAGGAGAAGGAGGGGCAGGAGGAGAAGGGGCAGGAGGTGCTCTTTTGACTTGTTGCTCCCCTGCACCGGGGGGGCCGGAGATCTCGAGGCTTCCCTCTCGAGGCGCGTGCTCTGCTGGGGCCCCGCAGACGGGGACACTGTCACACCAGGCTGGTGGCGCGCCCGAGGATAAACTGCAACCGTGAGCCGAGGCCCAGGCGTGTTCGCGTCGTGCACAAATCAAGACAATCATAATTTACACTGTTTGGGGCCTCCGGGGGCCCTCGCCAGGCCTCAGGACCGTCAGAAACGGTCCAGGATGAAACTCCGGCCCCAGGGGAAGGGTCGGGACTTCTGGGGACCCCGTATCCGCCACCGCGCTTGCAGCGATAGGCGTGTGTTGGGCCCTGTCGCTCCTTGCGACGCAATGATTAGGACCCCCGACGCATCGAGCTAAAGATGCCCCGCTCATTTTTGTGACCAAGTCCCTGCGTTCTTGGCTTTCCAAGCCAACAACAATTACTCAAATACGCCATTCGTGGCACCAGCTGCTCATTACACCTATCCCCCCCCGCCCACCCCCTCCCACCCCCACCCCTCGACCCCCACCCACCCCGCCCCAACCCCCCGCCCGAGCGCGGTGGCGGAATCGCGAATCGCGCGGCAGCGCAAGTGGATTGAAAACAGCCAGACATCGCATGTGGCCGTAGGTGGGGTGAGGGAACGTGCACCTTTGGTATACCTTTTGCGCCCGCTTTGTAACTTTGGGGGCCGTTTCGGGCCCCCACGTTGGCGTCCGCCCGAGAGTCGGTCGAGGCATCCCCCATTTTCCGCTCCATCCAGCTGGAATGTTTGTCCTGGTCAGCAGTGTCCTCATGTCCGCGGCCCAGACATACGAAGCCCTGCCAAATGGGATCCGAGTAGACAGGGTCGGAGGATTGCGCCGCATCGCCGATGCATCGGCGACACAGGCGATGCATCGGCGACGTCGGGGTGGGGAACATCGGGCTCCACCTCGAGCCGCATCGCCGATGCATTGGCAATTCGGCGCGATCCTCCGACTCCACCTGCTCGGACCCTTTTGTGTTTATCCATGGGTCATGGGAGCCTCCCGTTGTCATCTTGCCGGCTCTTGCAGCTCGACGCTAGCCGACGCAAGTTGACGCACCTCGACGCCAACTCTACGCTCAATTGGCGCTCTCTGATCGACTACCGGACTCTAAAAACGGACTCTCGAGGACACGCAGGGCTCCCGTGCCTTGCGACCGAAGGCGCCCATCTTCGGGGGCGTCCGAAAGGGGGCGTCCAGGAGGGGGGGGGGGCATGCAGTCTGGGAGACGCCCAGGCGGGGGGGGCGTCCGAGCGGAGGGGCCAGGTGACGTGTCGACAGACGGAGCGGGGGCCACGAGATCTGAGAGATGGCATGGCCCCCGCCATGAGATCCCCCCCTTTAGAGGGGGGGATCTCATGGGAGGGACCCTGTCGTGGGTTCCCAATGTATAAATTGGGAACCCACGAAGGACGTACGCGCCCAGCCATGTACATGAATGCGGCCCCTCAGTCCGCGAGACCAGCCTCGTTTCACAACTGCTCGCGCAAGGCGCACTTTCGAAACCAACGCGGGTTCATGTACGTGCACGTCCTTCTTTCGCTCCGGACTAGTCATCGCTAAGACGAAGTTAGGACGAGGATAACATCGGGCACAGGTACATCGAGAATCTCAGAGATCCGGCGGACCTGGGAATTGTGTCGGGCGCCGCGGCCTTGTTGGAACGTAGAGCGTTCCTGAACGCTCCGGGACGGATCTCTATCCTCGCCCTTTTGCCCCGTCCGAATCGCCCCCTCTCTTGTAGACGAAAACTTTTGGCGCTCCGCGCGGATTTCGTGGATCCGGGCTGGACCCCCCTCCCTGGCGCGCGGAGCGCGCCAGGGGCGGCGCCGGAGGCGCCGCAGGGGGGGGCCAAGGCGCGGATCCAAGAAATCCCCGCGGCAAAAGTTTAGGTCTGTACTGCTTTTTCCCCCTCGCCCTACGGCCCCGTCCGCATCGCCCCCCTTGGCGGTGGACAAACCTCCCTTTAGTAAACCTCCCTTTAGTGAAATGAAAACGGCCTGGGACCGAAACCGACGGACCTGGACCCGCAAAAACGACGGCCCCTCTCGCGAACCGAAAACGGCCAATTCCTTAATCGACGTGTCAGGGTAGGAGGTCTATCAACCTCCGACCCCCTCTTGGCCGCCCCCGACCACCGGACGGGGAGCCCAGAGCGGGCCAGGCCGCCACAGACGACCGGCCAGCCGGGCCCTCAGCGCGGAGCCTCAGCGCCGCCAGCCCGCCTGCGCGCGGGCCGGCCCGGCCTGGCCCGCGCCTCGCGGGCCGGGCGTGACGCCGTCGGGCTCCAGGCCCCTGCGCGGGTGGTGCCGGGCAGCGGGCGCTGCACATCAGTTTCGGGCAGGTTTACTGACGTGGCCTTTCCCCTCCACTGTGGGGCAACGATAGGGGGGGGACTGGCATAGGGGGGGATGCATCGACCTGGAATCGACGATACATCGCCGATAGATCGGCGATGGGCCCCCGATAGTGAATCCGCACCTTCCTGTGAAGGTTGGGGCCATCGGGCCCCTATCGGCGATCACTGGGCGATTCGGGGTCGAGGTATCCCCCCCCTATGCCTCTCCCCCTTCTCGTTGCCCCTGATCCCCCCCCTCCCCCACGCCTGAAGGCCACCCTACGTAAGGTCCACTTCGATCGGGAGGTCCCGAACGAAGTGAACCCCACCTCCTCCCTTCGAAATCGTGGGGTGGTGCGGTAGGGTTCGCAGGTGGCCTCCTACACGCCCCACTCCCCCCTTGCCGCCGCCTGGCGAAGCGGCGCTGGGCCGAAAAGGCGTGCAAGTGAAGGCCGACTTGCGTGCAGTCCAAGAAGTCCTCTTTGGACTCGCTGCGCACCCCCGATCGAGAGGACACTCGAGCCGAACTACCCGGATGCTGATGTAACTTGTGTGCGAGGCGCAGGTAGCTTTCGCCCTACAGGGGCTCTTCGGCCGAAATGGCACCACACGGAAGCACCAGAAGAAGGTCACTAGCATTTTTTAGACAACAGTCCCCCCCGCTCCCCCCTTCTATGCCTGTAAACCTGCCGGAGTCGAGATCCATATGGCCATCCAGAGCGCCCCTCACGAGGCCCCGAGGGCCCCATCAGCTCCTCGGACACCAGACGTCTTCCACGACGCGAACTCCCAGCTGGACCCATTCCCTGGGACCAATTTTTGCATCCTGGAGTGTTTTTTTGGCAGTCCCGAGGCCCGATGAGGGGCCCCTGGAAAACCTCCCGTCGTGACTTTTCCATGGGGTCTGGGGACGTCTCTGGCGAGCGCCCGGAAATGGCGCGAAAGGCTGGCGAGCACCTCTTGCGCCGGGGCCGCTTTGGGCAACATCCGACGCCTGCGCCGCATCTCCGCCACCAGCCGCTGGCTGCGGGCCGAGTCGCCGGCGCGGTGGCACGCGCCGATGAGCGCGTTGAACGTGGGCACGGTGGGGGGCACCCCGTCGCGGTCCTGAGGTGGTGGCGTGATAATCGGCCCCATAACCACACAAAGCATGACTGCCCATGCTGGACATCAATTGGCATCTCTCGGTCGCTACATCGCTAAAGAATCGATTCGGGGATCGACTACAGAATTGACTTCCCCCAACACTGATTTTCCCGTCGAGTCATACGTAGAATGCCAGTCAATCTACAGGCATTATGCGTCATGGGTTCGACAAATTTTAAGGTAAATCACTTCCGTCGCCCATCCCCTACTCGAAAGAAGAGCCACGTCTACATCGCAGAGAAGGAGGGGGCGGGGGGGGGGGAAGGGGTATGCCACTCCTCGACGAACACCCTGCCCCGCCCCGTGGCCGCCGCGGTCGCCGCGGCGACCTCCAAAATCGATCCGTAGGTTTGGTTCGGGGCCTGATCTCTCGCAACGATGAGGGGGGACGGCGCCCGGACACCCTCGCGTCTGAAACAAATCACGGTGGAAATCTCTGGCCGTTGCTGCCCTCCGGGCGCCCTCGCATCCCCCCTGAGCCATCTACCCTGACGCTGCCCCTGAGGTCCATGCGCAGCAGCCACGCCTCGGCCCGGTCGATGTGGCCCGCCTTGGCGTGGGCGTGCACAACGGTTGTGTAGCTGACGATATCCGGGCGCAGGCCGGAGGCCACCATGTGCTCGAACCACGACTCGGCCCGCTCCGCGTCGCCCGCGCGCACGCAGGCGTCCACGACGGCGTTGTAGCTGGTGACGTCGGGCGCGAGGCCGGAGGGCGCCATCCTCGAGAGCCACTTCTCGGCACGGGGGGCGTCCGCGCTCTTCGCGCAAGCCTGGAGTCTGAACAAACGGCGTAACAATCACCTTTCGAGCGCCCGCGCGGATCTCGTGGATCTGCGCTGACCCCCCCTCCCTTGCGCGCGGAGCGCGCCAGATGCAAGACATCCGTGCGGACCTCCCAAAGTTTGCGTTTATGCCGTTGCTTCTTTCCCGAAGGCCGCGATGACGGTGTTATAGCTCACCACGTCTGGCTCCAGGCCGCATGACACCATCTTGTCGAACCACCGTTCGGCCTCGGGCATGTTGCCCGCCTTCACGTGCATGCTGATCATGGTGTTGAAGCTCCGCACGGTGGGCGACACGCCGCGCTCGGTCATCCGGTCGATCCAGAGCGCGGCGCGGTGGGCGTCACCGCTGCGGACGCAGGCGTGGATGACCTGGTTGTAGCAGATCGCGTTGGCCTCCACGCCGTCGGCGATCATCTTGCTCAGCCACTCTTCCGCGCTGTCCGCATCGTTCGCCTTCGCGCAGGCGTTGACCACCGAACTGTAGCTGACGGTGTCTGGCTGCAGGCCCCTCTCTGCCATCTGGTGGAACCAGCCCGTGGCCCTCTCCAGATCGCCAGCGCGGGCGCAGGTCGTGATGATCATGTTGTACGCCACAACGTCTGGGTCAAGCTTGGATGCGATCATCTCCTTGAAAATGGCCTCCGCCCCCAGCACGTCGTCGTTGCGGGGCAGCGCCTTCACCGCCGTGATGAACGTGATACGGTCGGCCTGGAAGCCAGCCTCGCGCATGATGCGCAGCCACCGCGCCGCCCCGCATGCGTCGTTGGCGCGGCCGTGGAGGCCGACGAGAAGGTTGAACACGTTGTTGTTCGGCGCCACCTGCTGGGCGCACATGTGCTCGAAGGTTGCATTCGCCCTCCTGACGTCTGCGGCCTTGCTGTACGCGCTGAGGACTGTGACATACGTCACCACGTCGGGCTTAACCCCGAGGTCCGTCATCCTGCGCAACCAATCTTCGGCCTTGCCCGTGTCGCCACTCTTCGCGAGCACACCGATCAGGATGTTGTAGGTCCGCAGTGTTGGCCCTGCACCGTCCTCGATCATGCGCTCGACCCAATACGAGGCTCGAGCGCAGTCGTTCGCTGTGGCGCAGGCGTCCACGACTGCGTTGTAGCAGTTGATGCTCGGCTCGGCTCCATCCGCCACCATCCTCTTGATCCAGGCCTCCGCGTGGTCCACGTCCCCCGCCCTGGCGCATGCATGCAGCACGGAACTGTAGCTCGTCAGGTCTGGCGCAATGCCCTTGGCGCGCATGCGGCGCAGCCAGCCCTCCGCGCGGCCCACGTCGGCCTCGGTGGCAAACGCATAGATCAAGGCATTATAGGCATTCGCGTCGAGCTCAACGCCGTCCGCCATCATCCCCTCCAGCCAGGCCTCCGCACCTTCTGCGTCGCCGTGCCTAGAAGAACAAAGAAGTACCGATACCGCGCCTCCCATGACCTCTCCCGAGCGGCATGATGACCAGAACTTGGTGGCGACGAGGGCATCCCAGGAAGCCCCAAAACGGCGAAAACACACGGGAAGGGTAAAGGTGTCGGTACTTTGTTTCTCCCCTGGATGCCTGGCCCTCGCGGAGACGAGGGTGCCGGCGAAGCGCGCAGTCGCACCCGCACGCTGGTGCCCTCGCGAGAGCTCCCTCACGGGGCATCGTTTCACCGATCCCCATCCCCACTGGTGGGGCCGTTGGCCTCACTGGTCGACTTGCTCCCCCTGGAGGTGGTGATTTGTGCCTGGTCCCGTCGGGTTTCGCGGCGCCTATCCCCACCTAGGAGGGTGGCCTGGTTGGGCTGAGATACCGTGGCAGGGATGAGCTGCATCGAATCGCGAAGTAAGATCGGATTGGAAACGGATCGGATCGCCGACGAATCGTCCCGAGCCAACTCGGAATCGGATCCCCGCGCCCAGCTCCTCGAAAAAGGCGAGGCCCTCTCTCGCACGCCTCCTGTGCCCGCGGGTCCGTCGGGGCTTGGGATCGGTTGGACGTTGCCGACCTCAGCCACCGCTCGGCACGTCCGAACTGGCCCTCCTTCGTGAGCGCCAGGACGAGCGAGCGGCAGCACGCGGCGGCGGGCTCCTCGCTCCTCTCACGGGGCGACCCTTTATACGCGTACAACTGTCTTTATGCAGATTGTAGGTCTGTGCACAAGTGTGTGGCCCATGTTAGCCAGCGTGCACCACAGACAATGAGCTACTTCACTGTCGAGGTGGGCACTCTGCGGAATAAGACATATGTTGTTGGCCATGCTGTGTACGCTATGCGGTGGGCTGTGTGATGTAAGTAGGCTATGTTGATTCAGACATGTGGGGTGCGTTAGGTTGCGTCTGCTATGTTGTGTAACCTTTGTAGTGCGAGTCAAGCTGTCTAAGCTATGAAGCCACCCAGGGCACGGGGCGCCAACGAGGGCCCAAGACGGCCCAAGGTGGCTATAAGATGGCACAAGACGGCCCAAGAGGCCCCCAAGAGGCCTCCAAGGCGGCCCAAGAGGCCTCCAAGAGGGTCTCCGGGAAGACCCGAAGATGCCCAGATCATTGATTTTCCTTAGGTTTTGAAACGAATGCGGCATTTGCTTCTTTTCGTCCTTCCGACGGCCCGAGACGGCCCAAGAGCCCCGAAAGATCGCCAGCGAGGCCTCCGGAACGGCCCCAGTGTCCCCCAAGACGGCCCCAAGAGGGCCTCCAGACAACCCAAGAGGGGTCCAAGACGCCCAGGATGGCCTTTAAAGACGGCTCTGAAGCACCCTAAGAGGGCTTCAAGTCAGCCCAGAGAGGCCCCCAAGCCGGCTTCCGACGGCGTCGGACGGGCCAGGAATGCCCTGAGACGGCCAAGAAGGCCCCCGAGAAGTCCCGAAAGGCCCCCAAGAGGCCCCCCAAGATGCCTCCAAGAGGCTCCCAGGAGGCTCACATGAGGCCCCAAGAGTGCCCCCAGAGGCTCGCAAGATGCCCCCTCCTCCTCCACCTCCTCCTCCTCCTCCCTCCTCCTCTCCTCCTTCTCTCCTCCTCCTCCTCCTCCTCCTCCTCCTCCTCCTCCTCTTCCTTCTGCTCCTCAACCTCCCCCTCCTCCTCCTCCTCCTTCTCCTCTTCTTCCCTGCCATCCTCCCCCGAGTGTTCCCCGAAGTGTTTCAAAAACGGGTGGGGGAGCACATGGTCCGATAGCTTGGCAGAGCTCATGCCACAACGCTCGGACACATTGGCGACTTCAAACCTCTTGCTCCCCCACGCGTTCCCCGAAGGCTTTCCAAACCGACTCGGGGAACAACTGGCCCGATAGCTTGGCCAAGCTCTAGCCCAAGTGTCGGCCACATTGGCGCTTCCACAAGGGCAGGGGGCGGCGGTAATTCACCGTAGGCGTCTTCGATCGGAAACCCTGAGTGGAAGCACTGTTTGAGACATGTACTTAGGGGCCCCTCCTGGGGCGCGCGAACTGCCCGCTGCTCCTGGGAACTCTCCTGGAGTGCGCGAGACGTACAACATTGCCAGCTGCTCCTGGTACACTGCACCGTTTCCAGGGTTCCGAGGCGAGCCCCTGGGTGGCTACGACGCCCGGCAGCGGTTGTCCGTAATCGGCAGCCAGCGCGAGAGCGCAACCACACCATGCTGCCGAAAGAGACATGCTAACAAATACACCAGTCATGAGGTCATGTGCCGAGGCGACGCGCCAACAAAGAACACGCCGTGCCGTCGTCTGCAGGAGCCCCAGAAACGGAGAAGGTGGAGGGAGCACTCATACCTGCACGAGCATACGTGGAACCGTCGGAGGTCCGAGCGGGCATCTCTTGCCAGCGCTGGGCCCCCCTCCCCTGGCGCGCGAGGCGCGCCAAAGGGGCGACACCAGAGACGCTGCCAAGGGGGTGGCCTGGCGCTGGCCCACCAAGCCCGCGCCGACCCGTTCCATGTCGTGGCGCTCGGGCCCCCATGGAGCGAGCATACGCCACGAACACCTGTACACCGACGCCCGCCGACGAGTCTCCCCTGTGCCTTCGGGCAGGGCGGCGGTGCATAAACTCCCTGACCCGCAGTGGTGATGGTTTATAAGCCGCCGCTCTCCCCCGAGACCCAGGGACGGTGCCCCGGGGGTTGCTCGTGTCCTTCGGGAGCGGAAAAGAGGGGTGCGTCCAAGAGGGGGGGGTGCAAATCATGACCGGCGACATGTGCGCGGCCCAGCGGGGGGGCCAGGGACGTAGTGAAATAAGAAGAGGCGCCATGAAATCTGGGGAAATATCATGGCCCACGCCATGATATCCACGCCCCCCTAGTCATCACCCCCCTCTTTTCCGCCCCCGAGTCCTTGCTTTTGGCCGCGGAGGCAAACAGCGGGCACCGGCATCGGTGCTGCCTCTTTCCCCCGGCAGGGCCTCTGCTGCTCGCCGAGGCGCTCCAGCAGCGCCTCGGCCTCAGCGAGCTCCCCCTCGCAAGGGGCCGCCAACTCTGCCAACCGGGCACGTGCACCGGCCAAACGCATCCGGGGGTGGCGGGAACGTATATCCATATCCACCGCCTGGAGAATCGATGTCCTGGGACCACAAGGTGCGGTGGACATGGATACATGTTGGTCCCCAAATTCTTGACTATATATACATATATATACTAGAACCATCGCGCGCGCTTCGCGCGCGCTCAGGTTCTAGCCCAGGCCTGGGGGGCGCTGGACGATCTTGGACAACGATATCAAGCACAGGCGCGCGACGGCATCTGAGGAGCTTCTGGGGTGTTCCGCATGCTTCGTCAACTGGCTGTTGGAGGCACCTCTTGGGTGCTTCTTGGGGTGGCGTCTGAGGGTCCCTTGGGGGCATCGGTTCTGCAATCTGAAGCCGTCATTGGCCGTCTTGGCTGCGTGGAAGCCCGACTTGAGGCCACCTGCGGCCAGATAGAGGCAATCCGGAAGCCTCCCGGGGGCCTCCTGGAAGCAGTTTTGACGCATCGAGGGCACTCTTGGGCTATCTTAAAGCCTCTTGGACGTCGCCTAGGGGCCTCTTAGGCCCTCGGGAAGCTATTGGGGTCCTCGTCGGACCACTTGGGGGCCTCTTGCGGCCTCCTGTGTGCCTTGTGGGGGGACCGATCTGCTGTTGGGTCGCGTTCCCCTTCTTGGGCCTCTCTTGGGGCTCTTGGGGCCCTCTCGGGCCGTCTTGGGCGCCTCAAGCACCGTCTTGGGGCCCTCGCGGGCCGTATTGGGGCCTTCTTGGAGTCCTCTTCCTCTATATAGGAGCGGTATTGGAAGCCTCTTGGGCCGTCTTGGAGCATCGGGATGCCAAAAGGCCGAAAACATTAAAACCCGTCAAAGCCCAATCGTAAAACAATGAGTTGTGCCTCTTGGGGCCACCTTGGGAGATCTCTTGGAGCCTCGTCGGCCCTCTTGGGAGCTTCTTGGGGGCCTCTTGGATCCGATTGGGGGCCTCTTGGGACTTCCCGAGAACCTCACGGGGTAGAAAGCTCGGATTCTCGGTTCGTGTTTCCCTTCTTGGGCCTCTCTTGGAGCCGTCTTGGGGCCCTCTCGGGTCGTCTTGGGCGCCTCAGGCACCGCCTTGGGCCCTCGTGGGCCGCCCAGGGCCCTCTTGGAAGCCTCTTCGGCTATCTTGGAGCTGTCTTGGAGGCCTCTTCCTTCTCCTCGTCCCCCTCCTCCTCCTCCCACTCCAGCTCTCTCTCCTCCTGATCTTCCTCCTCCTCCTGCAGCGTGTTCCGGAAGGCTCCCGCCGGAACATGCTGTGCACAAGTGCTGTCACTGCTGCCGCACCGTGCCCTGGGTGGTGGGTCAGAGGCCTCATGGGTGTTGCTTTGGATCTCGTGGTTGGCCTGTCGGGGACGTCGTGAAGGCAGTTTCGCAGCTTCTCGGTAGCCGTTTTGGGACCGTTGTGGGGCCTCCTTGGGCTGTTTTTGTAGCCTCTTTAGGCCTCGTTTGGGCCTCCTGGGTGCCTCTTGGGGGCCTCCTGGGGCCTCTTGGGGGCTCCTTGGGGCCTCCTGGGGCACTCTTCAAGCGGGAGGGTCGAATTTTGGAGTCGTGGTCCCCCTCTTGGGCGCATCTTGGGGCCGTCTTGGGGCTCTGTTGGGCTGTCTTGGGCGACTCTGGGGCCGTCTTGGGGCCCTCTTGGGCCGTCTTGGGGCGCCCTTGGGGGCCTATTGAGCCGTCTTGGAACGTCGGACAGCCGAAAAGGCTGGCAGGCCAAAATCGTTCGAAAACCTTCGTACAATTTACGATTTCGGCCTCTGGAAGCGCTCTGGAGAGGCGTCTTGAAGCGTCGTGGAGTGCCTTGGGGGGCCTCTCGGGCCGTCTTGGGCCTATCTTGGGCGTCCTGGAGCGGTCTTTCGGCGACTCGGGGCCCGCTTGGGCCATCTTGGGAGCCTCTGGAGGCCCTCCTGGACTATTTTGGACCTCCCCGGCCGCCCCGTCCTCCCATGGGGGGTCGGAGGCGGTGGCCTCGGAGGCCCAGGACGCGGAAACCATGTAAAACCACACGGGAAATGAGCCCAGGTACCCCCATGGCGGCTCTTCGGCGCTCTTGGACCGTTGGAAGCTCGAAAACGCGAGAAGCCAAGAACATTGAAAAGACCATTGAACATATACGACTTTGGCCTCTTCGGGCCGTACCGTGATACCTATCAGACTTCTTGGGGTCTCTTGGAGGCCACCTGGAAGCCTCGAGAGCCGTCGGAAGGCTGACTTGGGCTGCTCGGGAGCGTCTTGGGCCATCCTTTCGCATTCTGGGGGCTCCTGGGGGGCGTCTTGGGCCCTCCTGGAGCGCTGTGGAGGCTGCCGGAAAGGCTGGGGCAGCGGTGCCGGGAGCGTCCCCGAGATGTGGCCATATCTTTTCAGCGCGTTCCGGGAGCATCTTCCCGGAACGCGCTCGTGGCAGGGCGCCCACGTCCGAGGACGTGGGCATGGGAAACCGCAGCGCGTGATCATTCCAGCGCGTTCCGGCGAAGACCGTCCGGAACGCGCTTGGGCAAGCGCTGGGTTTGGGGAAGGCGAGTGGAGACCGTTCAGGCAGTTTGGGATGCTCGGGGCAAGAGGCGGAAGCCATCCTCATAAGACATGCAGTCTTCCTGGAGCCGTCTTGCAGAAAACACAGAAAAACTGAGACCCTGCAGTCGTTCCTGGAGCCGTCTTGGAGCCCTCTTGGGCTGCCCTGGAGCCTGTTGGAGCCCTCTGCGGAATGGTCTTGGAGCCCGCGCCGAGGATCTGGAAAATGTCCGGGAGCATCGCGGCGGCCTTCGAGGCCCGGGACGCCGAAACCGCGTAAAAGCACAGCGAAAATGAGCCCCGGTACTGGAGGGTCGGGCAGCTGTTTTCGGGCCCCTGGGCTAGAACCATCGCGCGCGCTTCGCGCGCGCTCAGGTTCTAGCCCAGGCAGGGGGGGCGCTGGACGATCTTGGACAACGCTATCAAGCACAGGCGCGCGACGGCATCTGAGGAGCTTCTGGGGTGTTCCGCATGCTTCGTCAACTGGCTGTTGGAGGCACCTCTTGGGTGCTTCTTGGGGGGGCGTCTGAGGGTCCCTTGGGGGCATCGGTTCTGCAATCTGAAGCCGTCATTGGCCGTCTTGGCTGCGTGGAAGCCCGACTTGAGGCCACCTGCGGCCAGATTGAGGCAATCCGGAAGCCTCCCAGGGGCCTCCTGGAAGCAGTTTTGACGCATCGAGGGCACTCTTGGGCTATTTTAAAGCCTCTTGGACGTCTCCTAGGGGCCTCTTAGGCCCTCGGGAAGCTATTGGGGTCCTCGTCGGACCACTTGGGGGCCTCTTGCGGCCTCCTGTGTGCCTTGTGGGGGGACCGATCTGCTGTTGGGTCGCGTTCCCCTTCTTGGGCCTCTCTTGGGGCTCTTGGGGCCCTCTCGGGCCGTCTTGGGCGCCTCAAGCACCGTCTTGGGGCCCTCGCGGGCCGTATTGGGGCCCTCTTGGAGTCCTCTTCCTCTATATGGGAGCGGTATTGGAAGCCTCTTGGGCCGTCTTGGAGCATCGGGATGCCAAAAGGCCGAAAAAATTAAAACCCGTCAAAGCCCAATCGTAAAACAATGAGTTGTGCCTCTTGGGGCCACCTTGGGAGATCTCTTGGAACCTCGTCGGCCCTCTTGGGAGCTTCTTGGGGGCCTCTTGGATCCGATTGGGGGCCTCTTGGGACTTCCCGAGAACCTCTCGGGGTAGAAAGCTCGGATTCTCGGTTCGTGTTTCCCTTCTTGGGCCTCTCTTGGGGCCGTCTTGGGGCCCTCTCGGGCCGTCTTGGGCGCCTCAGGCACCGCCTTGGGGCCCTCGTGGGCCGCCCAGGGCCCTCTTGGAAGCCTCTTCGGCTATCTTGGAGCTGTCTGGGAGGCCTCTTCCTCCTCCTCGTCCCCCTCCTCCTCCTCCCACTCCAGCTCTCTCTCCTCCTGATCTTCCTCCTCCTCCTCCTCCTCCTGCAGCGTGTTCCGGAAGGCTCCCGCCGGAACATGCTGTGCACAAGTGCTGTCACTGCTCCCGCCACCGTGCCCTGGGTGGTGGGTCAGAGGCCTCATGGGTGTTGGTTTGGATCTCGTGGTTGGCCTGTCGGGGACGTCGTGAAGGCAGTTTCGCAGCTTCTCGGTAGCCGTTTTGGGACCGTTGTGGGGCCTCCTCGGGGCTGTTTTGTGGCCTCTTAGGCCTCGTTCGGGCCTCCTGGGTGCCTCTTGGGGGCCTCCTGGGGCCTCTTGGGGGCTCCTTGGGGCCTCCTGGGGCACTCTTCAAGCGGGAGGGTCGAATTTTGGAGTCGTGGTCCCCCTCTTGGGCGCATCTTGGGGCCGTCTTGGGGCTCTGTTGGGCTGTCTTAGGCGACTCTGGGGCCGTCTTGGAGCCCTCTTGGGCCGTCCTGGGGCGCTCTTGGGAGCCTATTGAGCCGTCTTGGAACGTCGGACAGCCGAAAAGGCTGGAAGGCCAAAATGGTTCGAAAACCTTCGTACAATTTACGATTTCGGCCTCTGGAAGCGCTCTGGAGAGGCGTCTTGACGCGTCGTGGAGTGCCTTGGGGGGCCTCTCGGGCCGTCTTGGGCCTATCTTGGGCGTCCTGGAGCGGTCTTTCGGCGACTCGGGGCCCGCTTGGGCCGTCTTGGGGGCCTCTGGAGGCCCTCCTGGACTATTTTGGACCTCCCTGGCCGCCCCGTCCTCCCATGGGAGGTCGGAGGCGGCGGCCTCCGAGGCCCAGGACGCGGAAACCCTTTAAAAACACAGGGAAAATGAGCCCCGGTCCCCCCATGGGGGGTCGGGGCACCTGTCCTGGGGCCCCCGGCCTCGCCCCCAGGGATATATTTATATTTATATATATATATATTATTATATATATATATATAGTCATATGCATCTATACATGCATCTATCCACCACCGTGCCTTTGGGCACGGCGTGGGCGTATCCTCATGTCCCTAATTGTCGTCCTCAATCCTCTGGCTTACGGATTCTTCAATGATCCGGACCCCAGCGGGCCAAATCGCCTGATCCGAGGCGGCTTGACGCGTGACTTGTTCTGGCCCTCGAGGGCTCCCAGACGGGCCAAGAGGGCCTTAAGAGGCCCCAAAGAAGGTCCGACAAGTTGCCGAGTCGCCGAGCGATCGATCCAAGACGGCCAAGATGGCGACTTCCAAGACGCCCTAAATGCCTCCAAGAGGCCTCCCACGAGGGCCCCAACAGGCAAAGTTCTTCCTCAGTCTTTTGGCGTTCTCGCCCTTTCGGTTTCCCGGCTTTCCAAAACGGCCCGAGGGATGCCCAAAATGGACCCAAGACGGCCCAAGAGGCCTCCAATAGGGCCCCGAAACAGCCCAAGAGGGCCCCAAGAGGGCCCAAGAGGCCTCCAAGACGGCCCAAATGGCTCCCAAGACGGCTCCAAGCGAGGGCCCAGACGGGTGACCCGCACGGACATTTCGAGACCTCGGGCCCAAGAAGCCCAAGGGAGGCCCCAAGAGGCCCCCAAAAGGTTGGCCACCAAGGGGCCCGCAAGATGTCCCCAAGAGGCCTCAAAACTACTTCCCAGAAGCTTCCGAGACCGCTCCGAACAGCCCCCGAGAAGCATCCATGAGACATCTGACCCACAACCCAGGCACGGTGGCGGAATGGGCCGACAGCAATTACATACATATGCATGTACACGCACATGCCTGTATATAGTGATGTATGTATGCATGCATGTATGCAGGCCTGACTTCATGTATGTATACATGTATATATATGTATCCCTGCATGTATGTATGTATGTGTATATGCATGTTTGTATGTCGGCAGGTTGGTATGAATGTATGCGTGTGTGTGTGGTGTACGCATACATGCATGCGTGCATGTATGTATGTGTATAGGTATGTATGTGTATACGTATGTGTGTGTGTGTGTTTGCATGAGTGTATGTGTGCGGATGCGTATGTATATGCGTCGTATGTGCACATATATATATATATATATGTATGCACGCCTGCATGTCGACATGCATGTACGCAGACACACATGCATATGTGTATGTTTGTTTGGTTGTTGTATGCATGTAAGAGTGGCATGTATGTATGTATGTATGTATGCATGCATGCATGTATGTATGTATGTATGTATGTATGTATGTGTGTGTAAATATGGGTGTATGTTTGTATGTATGTACGTACGTACGTACGTATGTATGTATGTATGTATGTATATATATATATATATATGTAGGTAGGTAGGTAGGTAGGTCGGTATGTATGTATGTGTTTATGAATGATTGTATGTATGTATGGCCGTATGTATGAATGCATGCATGTATGTATGTGTGTATGTATGTGTGCATAGGTATGTATGTGTACATGTTTGTATATATGTGTATATGCATGTCTGTGTGCATACATGTACGTATGTATGGATGTATGCATGCAGTCATGCATGCATACATGTATGCATGCAGGTATGTATACACATGCATGCATGCATGCATATCTATGCATGCATATATGCATGCATGCATGCATGTATGTATGTGAGTCTGTATATGGCTTTAAGTGCACACAGATCCAACGCCTGCCGAGAACCCCAAACGTCGATCCTCCAAACGGAGGTTATGTTGATCGACCACCCCCCCGTCTCGGATTTTGTGACAACGACCCGGGACCAGACCCCGCGGGTCGCAAAAGGATGCCAAGCCAGCCCCCCAGCTTCCCGGAATCTTTTTGAAGGCTTCGTAGAAGGCCGCCCCCCCTCCCCGCGCCACCCCCTCGTGCGCGCACTGCCCGGGGCGGGCCGCATGAGGCGCCGCCAGAGGGGTCCCACCGCCAATCCCAGAGATCCGCGCGGCTCTCCGAAAAGGATAAGGATGGGCAGCCTTTCAGGGCTACCCTTCCCTCCACCCCTCCTCCTCCTCCTCCTCCTCCTCCTCCTCCTCCTCCTCCTCCTCCTCCTCCTCCTCCTCCTCCTCCTCCTCCGCGTCGACCCGCCACACGACCTGGCAGGGTGGGGACCCCGTCGGCCTCGTGCGCACCCCGCACCCCGGGCCTGGGGCTTCGCCTGGCCTGCATCCAGGGCCTGGGCGACTCTCGCAGAGCAAGGCACGACACGTAGCAGAACTCTCGGAGGTCCGCGCGATTTGCAGGGCTGAATTTAAACAGTGGTTCCTGTGTTCGTGTTGTTTTTCGTTATTCCTCGCTTTGCCTTCGCTTCGCTTTTAACGTAAAACAGAACGAAACACACAACGGCCCACGAGATGGCAACAAAAACACCGCTTGGGTCCAGCCCTGGCGGATTATACGGATCCTCGCGGACCACGCCGAAGGCGGCGACGGAGCCGCCGCCAATCGAGGGAAGAAACACGATTGCCATGACCCAGAGGTCGCGGGATCCCGTCGATGCCGATCTTGGCCAGTCCATGCCGGCCGTCGCCGATTCGCGAGGAGGACCTACGGGAATGGGTGGGGGTCCCAGATAGGCGATGACCAAGATCGGCACTCACGGTTCCGCGCTCAGCCTTGGTCGTCGGACGCCCCATTCTGGAGACCTTCCTGGAGACTCTCGCTCCACTCGTGCGTCGAAGGTCGACCCTGAGTCGACCCTGAGTCGAACCTGAGTCGAACTTGAGTCGAACTTGAGTCGAACAGATCCGTTAGGTGGGCCACAGGATGGTCCTCCAAACGAGCATCTAATGGTCGTGGTCCTCGTTTCCGTTCCCTCTGGCCAGGGGGGGCCAGCCCAGGTCCAGAACAAGTCCGTGCGGATCTCCGAAGCTCCTGCCTGTGCCGTTCTGCTCACGTTCTTCTTCGGGCATGGCTGGCGGCCCCCGAGGCCTGGCGCACCCTCGCCATGGCATCGCGCACGGGGCCCCTCGCGGCCGCCTGCTGGCGCTGGGGCGCGCGCGCGGCCTCTGGCCCCGCCGATGCGGTCGTGTCCTTCTTGGAGGCCTCGCGGTCGGTCAAAAATGCCCCCCTCAAAGGGGAACGGGGACGTTACACGTCAGTCGGAAGAAGCAGGTAAAAGTATAAAGTAGGACGGCGGCAAAGTAGATTGGGTTCAGGCCCTCCCAGAGAAGAACAACACAGAACACAATCATCTCGATTCAGTAAGTATTGAGCAGGGACCGACCGTCCCAGCATTCCTATAAGCCTACCACGAAATGTTTAGACCCCAAAAATGTTCCCAACAAACAATGTTCTTAGACCATAAACCAGATGTGTTAAAACAAGAGAGTCCCAGCCAGAAGTGTACTAAGAACATTTCGTGGAAACCACAAACAAGTTTTTAGAACATTGTTTGGTATGCCTATAGGCACGCCGTGACGCTTCGCCACTGCTTGAAAGTAGGCAGGCGCTTGAAGAAGATTGGAATCTGGGACTCCACAAATTACGTTCAACGACAAGAGTGTAGATTAGGGGGGGCGTGAGTGGAAGGACTCCAGACCTCTGGTCCACGATCTGACACAATGTGCTAGCCAGCGTGGACCCCACACGGCAATTTCTGGCAATCTACGTGGTGCAACGTAGGTGGTGCAATCAATGTGGCGCAATCTGGGTGGTGCGACCCATCAGGTGCAAACGGTGTGGCGCGAAGCGATGTCAGCAAACCAATGCAAAGCAATGATTCACAATGCAGACGGGCGCAGCGGGGCGGTGGCGACGGGCGGGAGCGGTACCGGGTGCAAACGGGGGGGGGAGGGCGCAGCGGGGCGGCAGCGACGGGCGGGACGAGGGCCCCGTGGCGGCAAAGTGGCTCTTCCTCCTGACAAAAACCGATGCGCGGACGCACGGGCCGAGGGCCGCCGGGGCGGCACGCTCCGTAGAAAGGAAAAACGGGATCCCATAGAACTGCAAGCACTCCTTGGGGGAAAAGAACCTGATGTCGGGGGTCTGGGTTGGCGGCGCGTACAAGGGGGTGGAGGGAGGGGGGAGGGCTTCTTAGAAGGAGGCTGCTTCTTAGAAGGCGCCGTCCTTACATCTATAGATCAGGCCCGCGCCTTCTAAGAAGCAGGGGTGCTTCTGAGAAGCCCTCCCCCCTCCGCTCACCCCCCTCTGCGCGTGGCTGACTGGGGCCGGGGGGCACCGGCTCAGGACGGGGGGGCACCTCGAGCAGGAGCCGGCAATGCGGGGCTCGCCGGTGGATCGGCGGGAGGCCCCCGATGGCGGAGCCGCACGGTCCTGGGCGGGGCGGGCCCCCCCCCCCAAGCTGATCCCCCCCTGACGCTGTCGCCCGGCAGAGGGCCGAAGAGCCGCCCTGGTGATGAGCAACCCGACGAGCGCCACCCTCGAGCAACGGGATCGAAGGGCCTGGGGGACGGAGTTGAGCAGTGGCAGGGGTGTCTTCAGTCTACGCCAGGGGCTGCCTAGCAAGCGCTGGTTGCGTGGGTCAGGGTGGTTTTGCCACCCCCCCCTGACCCCCTTGCTGCGGTACGCTGCGCTCTGGAAGGCAGGAGCCGTCGCCACGGTCCCGCCGCGGGCCCGTTCAGCGGCGGAGCACGCTCGCGCTGGTCGCGCCCGTGGAGGGGAGCGCGGAAGCAGGGGAGGGCAGAGAGGCGGCGGCGAGATGGAGAGCCCGAGCCCGAACCCCACCCCGAGCCCCAGCTCGAGCTCGAGCCCACTCCGAGCCCTGAGAGCCCGAGGAGCCCGCGCCGGGGGCGGCGGAGGGGGCCTGGACGCGCAGACCCCTGATTTCCACGGGTACGCTTCGTGTCGTGGCGGTGTGCGCGGTGCTCTCCAGACACCGGGCAGGTCTGCGCTGGATCGGATCGCCAGATCGGATCGGATCGAGAGCGGATCGGATCGCCAGCGACTCGTCCCGAACCCGATCGGAATCGAATCGCTGCGCCCGGGTGGCCCCTGACCGATGCCGGCGAACAGATCCGGATCGCATCGAGAACGGGCATCGGGGTCCCCACCGGCGACTCGAATCGCCTCGAATCGGATCGTGGGCGGCCCGCGCGGGGAGGCCGCCGCCACGGCCAACGCGGTGCGGGCCTGCCGTAGTCACATGCGACAAGCGACCTCGCTACAAGACACCTAGACGACCGCGCTCGTCGGCCTAGGAGCCTGTGGTGTCCGAGGGCGCTTGCGAGATAATGCGTTCCACCTTCCCGATCGGCCTGAGAACCTTCGTCGGGTTCGAGGGCACGTACGGGATAAGAAATGTTTGGCGGCGCGCACAGGGGGGCAGGGGGAGGGGGGAAGGCTTCTCAAGAGGAGGCTGTTTCTCAAAAGGCGCCAGCCCTACATCGGCAGACAAGGCCCGCGCATCTAAGAAGCAGAGGTGTTTCTACTTGCCGTCGATTGGACGTCCATTCCCCGTGCTGCTGTCGGTGTCGTGCGTGTTTGCTGCTGCTTGCTGATCCAGGATGCTCCTCGATGGTCCTCGCCAGGGAAAAAAAACGCAGACGTCCGAGCGATGCCAAGTCTAAGAAGCCTTCCCCCTCCCCTGCCCCCCTTTCAAGAGATCCCATAATCGAATCGATATAAGTCGGATCGGCGATCGAAATGAATCGGATCGGCGGAAATCGGCAGCCGAGTCAGGAGAAGACGAATCGGCAAGAATCGGCAGGTTAGTATCCCTCCAATGAACATCGGAGCCCACATCGGAATCCCAGGTCGAATCGGATCGGAATCGGAATCCATCGAAATCGAATCGAGTCGAATCGGGGGAATCGAAATGAGTCCTCTGCTCGCGGCCGAGGATAGGAGATGTGACCGTTTTCTTGTTTGGGGTATCCCGGCGATAACCCGGGGTATCCCGGGGTGGGGGGGAGGGGGGGGAGGAGGGGGCCGGCCGATAACCGAACCCTCGCGCTGTGGGCAGCCCTGAATATGCCCGCGCCCCCCCTCCCGCGGACCTGACAACTGGCAAGGTTAGGTTATCCCGGGGGGGAGAGGGGGGGGGGCAAGCCCGATAACCCGGGCTATCGCCCGACCCTGAAAAAGCAGTCTCCAGGGGGCACCTGCTGTCAGGCGGTCTGCGCGGCGGCACTCGGCGGCCTCCTGCGGCCTCCTGCGATCAGGCGATCTCCGGCGGCCTCCGGCCAACAGCGAAACTCGGCGGCCTCTCCGCGAGACCTCGGGCGCGGAAGGCCACCTGGTCGCGCGGCGCGCCCGGGGGGGGGAACGAGGAGGAGGAGGAGGAGGCCTTCCCAGGCCTCCTCGCGCCGTGGAGTCACGACGGGAGGCCTTTCGCCATCTTCGGCCCCCGGGGACCCTCGCGGGGCCCTGCAGGACCGTCAAGAGACGGCTCAGGAGGAGCAACATCGGTCACGGGGGAGGGGTCCCGACTTCTGGTGGGCGGCGTCGTGGAAAAAACATGGCTCGACGGCCCCGAAGTCCCCCAGCCTCCTGAGAAGCGTCCTTATAGCCTCCCCCGAAGACACAGGGAAGCCTCTCGGGAGGCGCGAGGGCCCCCGAGGAGTCCCGCGCCGCCCTCGGAGGAAGAATTCTCCTTCTCGCTTGCCCCGGGTATGGTCGCGCGTCGCAAGGGAAGCACTCGGGGCGGACGATAGGATCGGCCCGACCGAGGGCGGGCGTTTCACGTACTCGCCCAGGGGCCTCGTCGAAGACATGGGCGATCGGAGGCTCTGAACACGTGTGTTGCTCTCCCCTGGGGCATTGGCCCCCCATCGTCGCCTCCGAGGCGCTAGGAACGGCGACACCACCAGCAGCACCACCGGCGCGAGGCGCCAGGGAGGGCCATCCTGGTGGCGCAGCCCCCCCCCCCTCTCGCTCGATACGTCCCGCTTTCCCAGCTCGGGGAGGCGCCGTGGACCCCCTCGCTGGAGGTGGCCTCCCTGGTGGTGGTGGTCTCGCCTCGCCTTCCTCCGGCACGTGCCCAGGATCGAGCACCCACGTGGCGCTTTTCCTTGGAGGTCGCGCAAAAGGTCCCTTGGGCCCCAGGTGCTCGATCTCCTGAGGTCTGTGGAGGCCTCCGGCGCGGAGACCACACGGTTGCATTCCACGGCAGGGCCATTGATCGCAGACGCAGGAGCAGCGGAGGGAGAGAAATGCACATGCACCGATCCTGGCCAGGCTCATCCTAGGCCCAGGATGGGCCTGGCTGGGATCGGGGTATGTTGCAAGTGCGCATTCATTCGGAGAGCAAAAAGGTCCACCCTCATGATGAGCACCCCGACAAGCGATACCATGTAGTAAACGCACCCAAGGAAAGAATCGAACAGGGCAGGGCTGCTTCGTAAACGTCCCGGGCAGTCTAGTACACGCTCGATGATCCAAAATTGCTCCTCGATTGTCCTCGGCGAGAATGAAATGCACACGTCCGAACGACGCCAAGAATAGTATCGCCCGCAAGCGGCCTTCTTCTTGGGGGTCGCGAAGAACGTGACGCGGAACGCCTCGCAGGCGACGAGGAGCGCGAGCAGGCCGAACTCCTCGGTGGCGTTCGAGCCGTCGGGCAGGTAGGGTGCGGCCCGCAGGAGCGCTGCTGCTGCGAGCCCTCACGAGAAGGCGCACACATGAGCGACGATCGAAAACGGGCATTACGCGGGGTGGCGCAGCGACCTTACGCGGCGGCTTACGCGGGCCGCCGGCGCGGCACGCCGCTCCGGAGAAGAAGGCGCTCACGCGCGACCTTGAGCGGGCAACTTACGCGCCACTGTCGGCGCAGACGGTCCCGTCTTATCTTGCGTCGCTCTCATGTCCATGACCATATGCGTGCCCTCGCGGGACACCGAGGCACGATCGCATGGATGCGCACTCCTGCAGATATTAAGAAACACCTCCGGGAAGGTCTTCGCAAGAGCGATGAAGGGCAATCGAAGCCGGATTGGCCCCGACTGCGCCCAGGATTCAGCCATCTTCAGCGGAATTAGAAAGGACGATGTGGGGTTAGTCCATTTTCGACCACGGATATGCCAGCGTCGACGCTGAACGGAACCTCCCAGAACTTGCCTCGTCACGGGTGCGTGTCGCTTAAAGCGCCCGCGCAGACACGCCCTGTAGTGATGGGGCCGCGGCCGCCGAAAAATCTAGACCGCGAGGCTGTGGATATGGATGCGTTCTTCCCGCCCGCGCGGTCCGGGGAAGAACGCGGCTGCGCACAGAACCGTGAGGACCGCCAGCAGGATGGGACGACGGAGGTCCCCGTTTGATGTGGAAGAAAACATCGTGAGTGCTCGGGTCGCGTGAGGTATGCCGTCCCGAGGGTGTAGGGTAACTCTAATCCAGTCAGGATCACCAAGCTGCGAGGTTGCGCTTGAGCCGAGGGGCGCGGATGCGGGAGGGCAGCCCCACAGGAGCGGACGAAGGGACGGATGGACGTCATGGCCGAAGAGGCGTCAAAACGGAGCTGAGCATCACCGCTCCTGCCACGAGTCTCTACATAGGCAGAGCAGGATGATCAGGAACAGGAAAGGGGAGGGTCGGAATATGAGTTAGAGGACGAACCCGTGGATCCGAGCGAACACCCTGGACCCTCCCCCTGCCAAGCCACAAACCAATACCGTCAATACATTGTGGTTCGGGTGGTCCCGACCCAAACGCAACTGCGAACGGTTCCTGAGTCTGGTCCGTGTGACTCTAGAATGCGATCTGATACATAGTTGGTTGTGTGGTCGCGGCGTCGCTTCACGTATGTCATGTGGTAATTCGTTGTATGGGTTACTCGTGCTTGTCATGAGACTGATTCCTTACATGTCCTTGTATCTGTTCTGTACGGTCGTGGTTTCGGTCCTACCTATGAATGATATCTGTCACTGGTGTATGTGATTTGTGCATGCTGTGTCCCTCGTGATGTCCTGCATGTCTGTTATTGGGGTACCTCCTCAGAGTCTGCTCATGGTTTGTATTGTGGGTGTCAAGTGCGTCTTCTGGACATACGTTCTAGGTCTATGTGCCTCATACGTGCTACTGATGTCAGCGAGTCCTCCAACGGGTGCTTTCACTGGGGAGTCTAGTCGAGGGAGCCCACAGAAAACGTACGCGCCCACCCATGCACATGAACATGGCCCCCCCCAGTCCGCGGGACCAGTCGCGTGACACGAAAGTTCGCGCAATGCGTACACGTCGGTTGGAAGAAGTAGGTAGAAACATGAAGTAGGAAGGCGGATCAAGTAGATTGGGTCCAGGCCCTCCCAGAGAACAACAAAACACAGCAAAGGCATGCCGATTCTCGAAGTAGGAAGGCGCTTGAAGTAGATTGGGATCTGGGAATCCCAGAATACCTGCTTTCAACGACCGGCGTGTACTCTCGAAACCAGCGTGGATCCGTGCGCGTGTACGTCCTCCTTTCGCTCCCGAAGGTTTGGGTTCTCACACACAGTGGCACCTCTGCCGCGGCGCTGCCAGGCTGCCGCCAACGCGCCATGGGCGCCCCGTGGGTGCCCCGGGTGGGCGCTGCCGAGCCTCGCTCGGTGGCCGCCCGGGACCGCCGCGTGCACCGAGGGGGCTCCAGTCGGACCCAGGCCAGACTGGCCGTCGCTCGGACGTCCATTTCCTGTGCATTTGTCGGTTTCGTGCGTGGCTTTTTCGGCAAAAGATCAAGGATGCTCCTCGATGGTCCTCGCCGAAGGAAAAATGCACACGTCCGAGCGATGCCAAGCAGAAGAACATCCGTCCAAGACCGTGAGACCCAGCGTCGGCCAGAACACAGACACAAAACATCCGAGGCTACCCTGCCCAGGATGCACCGTCACATCCAACAAGCACGAAGAGCACCAGGGTACCCTCCTCCACGAACCCGCCTCGATCTCATACCTCCGCTCGGCTGTACGCACGGGACCTTATGCAGACGGGACTCGGGACTGGAGGGCGTTGTGCAGCATCGTTTCGTTCTCCCCCGAGCGAATCGCAAACTGAGAGCATCGAAGCCCTCCCCAGCTGGCGGGGGGGGGGCCTGGAGGCGTGGCGCCCTGGCGACCCGGCCACGCGCTCACCACTTGCGCTCCCAGCGGGCGCCGCTCTCCCACATGACGGTCTGGTTCGGCAGCATCTGGCCCTCCGGGAACGGCGGCTCCACCAGCACCCTGGTGCCGCGCACGACACCCTTCTTCTCGTACATCTCGCCGCTCTTCTTCTTCAGCTGGAAGGAGATCGAGCACTTGTCCTGCTTCACCTGGAACAGCTCGCCGTGCGCGTCCGAGAACCACTTCTCGCCGCCGAGGTCGGCGCAGCCGGACTTGGCGATCGCGGCCTCGAGCTCCGCCGCGCGCGCGCGCTCCATCTGCCGCCTGCGGGCGCCCTTGGGGCGATCCTCCTCCGAGTCCAAGGCGCTGGCCTGCACGAAGGCGAGCGCCATCAGCATCGCCGCCAGCACGCGCGCCATCGCTCGACTGAGTGCACGGCAACGGGGGTCGTTAATGTGGCAACGGAATGGAGTGGCTGGCAAGCACCTTGAGCCAACATGGATACGGACGGCGTTGTGCAGCATCGTTGACGCATCCTGGGTGCACTCTCGCCCCTGATCCCCCCTCCTCATTCGGCCCCCTCCGACGGCGACGAGAAGCACCCCGGGCGCCGCGGACGACGAGGCCCCCAGGGCCGTCGCTCCTGCCTCCTGCCTCGTCTTAGCTGCTTGATGCAAGCGCCAGGCTTTGTCAGCCCCCCGGTGTGTTCAGGCTCCCTGCCCCCTGCCTTTGCCCTTTGCCCCTCTCTCTCTCTGCCTCTCCTGCTCCAGTCGGACCTAGGCCAGAAGAACATCCGTCCAAGACCCTGAGACCCACCGTCGGCCAAAACACAGACAGAACATCCAAAAGTACCCTGCCCAGGATGCACCGGCACACCCAACAAGCACGGAGAGAACCAGGGTACCCTCCTCCACGAACCCGCCTCGATCTCATACCTCCGTTCGGCTGTACGCACGGGACCTTATGCAGACGGGACTCGGGACTGGAGGGCGTTGTGCAGCATCGTTTCGTTCTCCCCCGAGCGAATCGCAAACTGAGAGCATCGAAGCCCTCCCCTGCTGGCGGGGGGGGGGCCTGGAGGCGTGGCGCCCTGGCGACCCGGCCACGCGCTCACCACTTGCGCTCCCAGCGGGCGCCGCTCTCCCACATGACGGTCTGGTTCGGCAGCATCTGGCCCTCCGGGAACGGCGGCTCCACCAGCACCCTGGTGCCGCGCACGACACCCTTCTTCTCGTACATCTCGCCGCTCTTCTTCTTCAGCTGGAAGGAGATCGAGCACTTGTCCTGCTTCACCTGGAACAGCTCGCCGTGCGCGTCCGAGAACCACTTCTCGCCGCCGAGGTCGGCGCAGCCGGACTTGGCGATCGCGGCCTCGAGCTCCGCCGCGCGCGTGCGCTCCATCTGCCGCCTGCGGGCGCCCTTGGGGCGATCCTCCTCCGAGTCCAAGGCGCTGGCCTGCACGAAGGCGAGCGCCATCAGCATCGCCGCCAGCACGCGCGCCATCGCTCGACTGAGTGCACGGCAGAGAGGGTCGTTAATGTGGCAACGGAATGGATTGGCTGGCAAGCACCTTGAGCCAACATGGATACGGACGGCGTTGTGCAGCATCGTTGACGCATCCTGGGTGCACTCTCGCCCCTGATCCCCCCTCCTCATTCGCCCCCTCCGACGGCGACGAAAAGGCCACCCGGCGCCGAGGACGACGAGGCCCCCAGGGCCGTCGCTCCTGCCTCCTGCCTCATCTTAGCTGCTTGATGCAAGCGCCAGGTTTTGTCAGCCCCCTGGATGTTCAGGCTCCCTGCCCCTTGCCTTTGCCCGTTGCCTCTCTCTCTCGTTCTCTCTTTCTCCTGCTCCAGTCGGACCTAGGCCAGAAGAACATCCGTCCAAGACCATGAGATCCACCGTCAGCCAAAACACAGAGGGAGCATCCAAGGGTACCCTGCCCAGGATGCACCGTCACATCCAACAAGCGCGAAGAGCATCAGGGTACCCTCCTCCAGGAACCCGCCTCGATCTCATACCTCCGTTCGGCTGCATGCACGGGACCTTATGAAGACGGGACTCGGGACTGGAGGGCGTTGTGCAGCATCGTTTCGTTCTCCCCTGAGCGAATCGCAATCTGAGAGCATCGAAGCCCTCCCCAGCTGGCGGGGGGGGGGCCTGGAGGCGTGGCGCCCTGGCGACCCGGCCACGCGCTCACCACTTGCGCTCCCAGCGGGCGCCGCTCTCCCACATGACGGTCTGGTTCGGCAGCATCTGGCCCTCCGGGAACGGCGGCTCCACCAGCACCCTGGTGCCGCGCACGACACCCTTCTTCTCGTACATCTCGCCGCTCTTCTTCTTCAGCTGGAAGGAGATCGAGCACTTGTCCTGCTTCACCTGGAACAGCTCGCCGTGCGCGTCCGAGAACCACTTCTCGCCGCCGAGGTCGGCGCAGCCGGACTTGGCGATCGCGGCCTCGAGCTCCGCCGCGCGCGTGCGCTCCATCTGCCGCCTGCGGGCGCCCTTGGGGCGATCCTCCTCTGAGTCCAAGGCGCTGGCCTGCACGAAGGCGAGCGCCATCAGCATCGCCGCCAGCACGCGCGCCATCGCTCGACTGAGTGCACGGCAAAGGGGGTCGGTAATGTGGCAACGGAATGGAGTGGCTGGCAAGCACCTGGAGCCGACATGGATACGGACGGCGGTGTGCAGCATCGTTGACGCATCCTGGGTGCACTCTCGCCCCTGATCCCCCCTCCTCATTCGCCCCCTCCGACGGCGACGAGAAGGCCCCCGGGCGCCGAGGACGACGAGGCCCCCAGGGCCGTCGCTCCTGCCTCCTGCCTCGTCTTAGCTGCTTGATGCAAGCGCCAGGCTTTGTCAGCCCCCCGGATGTTCAGGCTCCCTGCCACTCACCCTCTGCCCTTTGCCCTTTGCCTCTCTCTCTCTCTCTCAGTCGACCTAGGCCAGAAGAACATCCGTCCAAGACCCTGAGACCCACCGTCGGCCAAAACACAGACAGAACATCCAAAAGTACCCTGCCCAGGATGCACCGGCACACCCAACAAGCACGGAGAGAACTAGGGTACCCTCCTCCACGAACCCGCCTCGATCTCATACCTCCGTTCGGCTGTACGCACGGGACCTTATGCAGACGGGACTCGGGACTGGAGGGCGTTGTGCAGCATCGTTTCGTTCTCCCCCGAGCGAATCGCAAACTGAGAGCATCGAAGCCCTCCCCAGCTGGCGGGGGGGGCCTGGAGGCGTGGCGCCCTGGCGACCCGGCCACGCGCTCACCACTTGCGCTCCCAGCGGGCGCCGCTCTCCCACATGACGGTCTGGTTCGGCAGCATCTGGCCCTCCGGGAACGGCGGCTCCACCAGCACCCTGGTGCCGCGCACGACACCCTTCTTCTCGTACATCTCGCCGCTCTTCTTCTTCAGCTGGAAGGAGATCGAGCACTTGTCCTGCTTCACCTGGAACAGCTCGCCGTGCGCGTCCGAGAACCACTTCTCGCCGCCGAGGTCGGCGCAGCCGGACTTGGCGATCGCGGCCTCGAGCTCCGCCGCGCGCGTGCGCTCCATCTGCCGCCTGCGGGCGCCCTTGGGGCGATCCTCCTCCGAGTCCAAGGCGCTGGCCTGCACGAAGGCGAGCGCCATCAGCATCGCCGCCAGCACGCGCGCCATCGCTCGACGGAGTGCACGGCAAAGGGGGTCGTTAATGTGGCAATGGAATGGAGTGGCTGGCAAGCACCTGGAGCCGACATGGATACGGACGGCGTTGTGCAGCATCGTTGACGCATCCTGGGTGCACTCTCGCCCCTGATCCCCCCTCCTCATTCGGCCCCCTCCGACGGCGACGAGAAGGCCCCCGGGCGCCGAGGACGACGAGGCTCCCAGGGCCGTCGCTCCTGCCTCCTGCCTCGTCTTAGCTGCTTGATGCAAGCGCCAGGCTTTGTCAGCCCCCCGGGGTGTTCAGGCTCCCTGCCACTCACCCTCTGCCCTTTGCCCTTTGCCTCTCTCTCTCTCTCTCTCTTTCAGTCGACCTAGGCCAGAAGAACATCCGTCCAAGATCCTGAGACCCACCGTCGGCCAAAACACAGACAGAACATCCAAAAGTACCCTGCCCAGAATGCACCGGCACATCCAACAAGCACGGAGAGAACTAGGGTACCCTCCTCCACGAACCCGCCTCGATCTCATACCTCCGTTCGGCTGCATGCACGGGACCTTATGAAGACGGGACTTGGGACTGGAGGGCGTTGTGCAACAGCGTTTCGTTCTCCCCCGAGCGAATCGCAAACTGAGAGCATCGAAGCCCTCCCCAGCTGGCGGGGGTGGGCCTGGAGGCGTGGCGCCCTGGCGACCCGGCCGCGCGCTCACCACTTGCGCTCCCAGCGGGCGCCGCTCTCCCACATGACGGTCTGGTTCGGCAGCATCTGGCCCTCCGGGAACGGCGGCTCCACCAGCACCCTGGTGCCGCGCACGACACCCTTCTTCTCGTACATCTCGCCGCTCTTCTTCTTCAGCTGGAAGGAGATCGAGCACTTGTCCTGCTTCACCTGGAACAGCTCGCCGTGCGCGTCCGAGAACCACTTCTCGCCGCCGAGGTCGGCGCAGCCGGACTTGGCGATCGCGGCCTCGAGCTCCGCCGCGCGCGTGCGCTCCATCTGCCGCCTGCGGGCGCCCTTGGGGCGATCCTCCTCCGAGTCCAAGGCGCTGGCCTGCACGAAGGCGAGCGCCATCAGCATCGCCGCCAGCACGCGCGCCATCGCTCGACGGAGTGCACGGCAAAGGGGGTCGTTAATGTGGCAACGGAATGGAGTGGCTGGCAAGCACCTGGAGCCGACATGGATACGGACGGCGTTGTGCAGCATCGTTGACGCATCCTGGGTGCACTCTCGCCCCTGATCCCCCCTCCTCATTCGGCCCCCTCCGACGGCGACGAGAAGGCCCCCGGGCGCCGAGGACGACGAGGCTCCCAGGGCCGTCGCTCCTGCCTCCTGCCTCGTCTTAGCTGCTTGATGCAAGCGCCAGGCTTTGTCAGCCCCCCGGGGTGTTCAGGCTCCCTGCCACTCACCCTCTGCCCTTTGCCCTTTGCCTCTCTCTCTCTCTCTCTCTTTCAGTCGACCTAGGCCAGAAGAACATCCGTCCAAGACCTGAGACCCACCGTCGGCCAAAACACAGACAGAACATCCAAAAGTACCCTGCCCAGGATGCACCGGCACACCCAACAAGCACGGAGAGAACTAGGGTACCCTCCTCCACGAACCCGCCTCGATCTCATACCTCCGTTCGGCTGTACGCACGGGACCTTATGAAGACGGGACTTGGGACTGGAGGGCGTTGTGCAACAGCGTTTCGTTCTCCCCCGAGCGAATCGCAAACTGAGAGCATCGAAGCCCTCCCCAGCTGGCGGGGGTGGGCCTGGAGGCGTGGCGCCCTGGCGACCCGGCCGCGCGCTCACCACTTGCGCTCCCAGCGGGCGCCGCTCTCCCACATGACGGTCTGGTTCGGCAGCATCTGGCCCTCCGGGAACGGCGGCTCCACCAGCACCCTGGTGCCGCGCACGACACCCTTCTTCTCGTACATCTCGCCGCTCTTCTTCTTCAGCTGGAAGGAGATCGAGCACTTGTCCTGCTTCACCTGGAACAGCTCGCCGTGCGCGTCCGAGAACCACTTCTCGCCGCCGAGGTCGGCGCAGCCGGACTTGGCGATCGCGGCCTCGAGCTCCGCCGCGCGCGTGCGCTCCATCTGCCGCCTGCGGGCGCCCTTGGGGCGATCCTCCTCCGAGTCCAAGGCGCTGGCCTGCACGAAGGCGAGCGCCATCAGCATCGCCGCCAGCACGCGCGCCATCGCTCGACTGAGTGCACGGCAAAAGGGGTCGTTAATGTGGCAACGGAATGGAGTGGCTGGCAAGCACCTGGAGCCGACATGGATACGGACGGCGTTGTGCAGCATCGTTGACGCATCCTGGGTGCACTCTCGCCCCTGATCCCCCCTCCTCATTCGCCCCCTCCGACGGCGACGAGAAGGCCCCCCGGCGCCGAGGACGACGAGGCCCCCAGGGCCGTCGCTCCTGCCTCCTGCCTCGTCTTAGCTGCTTGATGCAAGCGCCAGGCTTTGTCAGCCCCCCGGGGTGTTCAGGCTCCCTGCCACTCACCCTCTGCCCTTTGCCCTTTGCCTCTCTCTCTCTCTCTCTTTCAGTCGACCTAGGCCAGAAGAACATCCGTCCAAGACCCTGAGACCCACCGTCGGCCAAAACACAGCGACCGCTGCGCCCGACGGCGAGCCTCGGACACGGCGCTGTGGCAGAAGAACAGCGCCCAGCTCCAGCCCATAGGCAAGCCCGCGAAGCACGCCTCCAGGAGGGTGTCCTCGGCGACGGCCACGTCGCGCCCGAGGTCGGGGTCAAACGCAGTCTCCACCCCCAGCGCCCCCGCGGTGTCCTGGAGCCCCAGGCCGAAGTAGTGCGAGACCGTCGGCACCAGGAACTGATAGAAGCCGTCCTGGAGGTCGATGGAGCCTCCCCACAGCTCCTTGGAGCGGCATGCGCCCCGAGGCGTGGCGGGCTGAGCCGCGCCATCAGCTCCGGCAGCGTCCAGGGCAGCAGCGGCCACATAGCCCGGGTCGTGGATGAGCGACCCCACGGCCCCAGTGGTGGCCAGCTTGGTGTAGGGCGCCCGGCGGTGGACAGCGTTCGCCGGCCTCGCATCGAGGACGAGGTTGACAAAGAACATCCCGCAGCGGGCGGCGACCCTCGTCCTGTAGCAGATGAGGCCGCAGTCGGCGAGCCTCTGCACGAAGTCGCGGAGGAGGCGGGGGTTCGAAGCCAGACGCCGATCCCAGTGGGGACGAACAGGCTCGACTCCCTCCAGCTGGGCATCCCCCAGCGCGATGAGTGACGGGTCGGCAAGGTAGCGGGCCGCGTCGGCGCCCACCAGCAGCCGGGCGTCCTTCGGGCGCAGCCGCTTGGAGGTGACGGAGACGCGGTCTGGGTCGTAGGGCGCCACAGCCAAGGGAACGTCCGTGTCGTAGAGGTCCTTTGCCTTGAGGAGCTCCGGCAGGGCGCCGGAGGGGAAGAAGTCGAACTCGAGTGGCCTCGGGCCCGCGGCAAGGGCCACGTCCGCGAGGCGCCTCCACGTCGCGAGCTGGGCGTCAGACAGCTCCCGCCCGTGGGGAAGGCGGCTGGGCCACACCGGCCTGGGCAGCCCACGGGCGCGCGCGGCTGCCAGAGCGTTAAGAGCGGCGGCGGCATCAAGCTGCAACGCGCCCACTGCGCCGGCCTCCACGAGCTCCCGTCCCGACGCTGAGCCGGGCAAAGAAAAGAATGACTTGGGCCGCGGGAGCGGGAACAGTCCACACTGCCAGCGGGAAGCGCCGCGGCGATCCATCCGAGCAGCAGCAGCGCCACTTCGAGGCGGAGGGCCAGGCGCGAGGGGGAGGGCCTCGATGGCCCTACTCGTTGTCCTTGCCGCCCTTCTTGCGGCCGCTCTCCTCGGCGTAGAGGCGCTGCTGCTTCAGCGCGAAGGCCTCCGTCTTCTGCTCGCCGGCGATGAAGCGGGCGAAGTCCCCGACCGCCAGGGTGGCGCCGCTGTCGAGGCGGCTGTGGATCATCATCTCGAGGCCCCGGAAGTCGGGGTTCTTGGGCGACTTCTTGACTGCGCGCTCGATGTAGAGTACCCGCCGAGCCAGCATCTCCATCGTAGCACTCTGGAAGATCTCGAGCTGGTCGAAGCAGAGCGCGCGGTGCAGCACGGACACGAGGCTCTGGTGATGCTTGGCCACGCCGGCCTCGGCGCTGACCCCAGACGACCTGGCCCACGCAGAGTGGTAGCTCTCCAAGGACTCCCCTGAGGCGCGGATCCCGCGCAGCAGCTCGAGCGAGGCCGAGGGCCCACGGAAGGGCCAGTCCTTGGCCTCGGCGGTCGTCATCCCGTCGCGGCCCGTCTTCACAGGGAGCTCCGAGAGAGAGGCCAGGCCCTCCTTGAAGTCGAGGTAGCGGGCCTCCTGCGCGTCGCGGCTGATGGCGAGCACGCGGGGGTCGCGGCCGGCACCTGTCTGCTTCTCCTCCTTCCAGGCTGCCAGGTCGCTGGGCAGCAGCCTCTCGACCGCCACCCACCTCTGGTCGTCCATCCTGGCGAGCCCCGTGTGACCCCGGGAGACGAAGCGCGCGGGGTTGGAGGTGACGGCGACCTCGACGGTGGTGCCGAAGTCTTCGTCGGCGGGGTCGGCAACGTACCAGACGGCCGCCGAGGCCGCAGCCGCAGGCGCAGCTCCACCCAAGATACTCGCCAGCGCGTGCGCCTGCTGCATCAGGCCCGCCAGCTCGTCTTCCCCCAACGGGTCGAAACCGAAGTTCCCCCGCAGGCGAGGCGGGATGGGGCACCCCCGCACCAGCGGCACGATGCGCGACGTGGAGAGGTTCCGCGCCTGGACATCGTGGGTTGGAGTCGCATACACCCACCGCCCGTCGTCCCCGATCTTGACCAGGAGGATGCGGTGGTGCCACCTGAAGTTCGGGTCGTCGTCGAACGCCTCGGCAATTTGCTGCTGCTCGATGTCGAGGGCCTGCGGGACGGCGGCCATCAGCGGCGACGCCGCGGCACCCAAACGTCAGGCTCGTCGAGAGCAGCCAGACCAGGACCCCCAGCGTCGCGGTCGCCCAGCGCCAGCGGCGGCGGCGCCGCACGGCCTGCGGCCAGGGCGGAGGGCGTGGCGGGGCCCCCGAACGAGGCCCCGGCCGTCGCCGTGCCGACCCAGCGGCCGTGGCACCACAGGCGGCAGGCCGCCGCGAGACCCAAGGCGAGGGTCGCAGCAGCCAGAGCGGCGGCCCACACCGCCGAAGTCGCCCAGCCGCAGGTGCAGGCGGGGCAGGCGGCCGCCGCCGGGCAGGCGGCCAGCGAGGGGCAGATCGCCTCGGGGCAGACCGCCGCCGGGCAGACGCACGCCGGGCAGGGCGCCGCCGGCGGGCAAGTCAGCGCCGGGCAAGCAGGCGCCGGGCAGGCGCAAGGCGGGCAGTCGAGGACGTGCCCGCAGGAGCCCTGCCCCGCAGCCTCGGGCCCGGCCTACCAGCCGCCGGTGAGGCCACCGAGGAACGCCGCGATCGCGGCGGCAGGGGCGCCGAGCGGGCCGGGCCCTCCCATCCCAAGCCAGAAAAGCTGCAGAGGACTCCGATGCGGACAGTGATAATGTGTCACACTTTCAATCATCATCATCATCATCATCATCATCATCATCATCATCATCATCATCATCATCATCATCATCATCATCATCATCATCATCATCATCATCATCATCATCATCATCATCATCATCATCATCATCATCATCATCATCATCATCATCATCATCATCATCATCATCATCATCATCATCATCATCATCATCATCATCATCATCATCATCATCACTCCGCGCCTCCTCTCCTCCTCCTCTCGGCCTCCGGATCCTCCTCTACGCTTTTCTCCTCTCTCTTCCTTCCTCCTCCTCGCCTTCCTCCTGCCTCATTATCATCTCATCAATGATCATCATCATCCACCCTCCTCGTACCTTCGACTCTCCGCTCCGCCTCCTACTCCTCCTCCTGCTTCCTCCTCTCGTCCTCCTCGGTTGCTCCTCCTTCCTCTGATCCTCCTCTTCCTTGATCCTCCTCATCTTCTCCTCCTTCCATTCTCCCTCTTCCCTCCTCCCTTCTCCGTCTCCCTCCTCCTTCTTCCGTCTCACGCCTCCCTCTTCCCTCCTCCCTCCCCCAATCCTTCCTCTCCGTCTCTGTTCCCTCTCTCCCTCCTCCTACCTCCCCATCTCGTTCTCCCTCCTCCCTCCCCCGTCCTCCCTCCTTCGCTCCTCCCTCCTCCCACCTGCATCTCTGCCCCTCCTCCTCCCCCTTCTCCACCACCTTCAACTGATCCTCCTCCTCCTCATCCTCTTCCTCCTCCTCCTCCTCCTCCTCTTCCTCCTCCTCTTCCTCCTCTTCCCCGGACTGTCTGTCTGTCTGTCTGTCTGTCTGTCTGTCTGTCTGTCTGTCTGTCTGCCTGTCTGTCTGTCTGTCTGTCTGTCTGTCTGTCTGTCTGTCTGTCTGCCTCTCTCTCTCTCTCTCTCTCTCTCTCTGTCTCTCTCTATATATATATACCGGCCATGAGATCATCTGGACATGGCCATCCTTCCCCGCAACAAGGCCGCTCGTGCCTGGGGGGTGATCAAACTAGTATGCCAAGAGGCCCTGGTGGGCAACCGGCAAGGGGCCTCCTCCTTCTCCTTCTCCTCCTTCTCCTCCTTCTCCTCCTCATCTTCCTCTTCCTCCTCCACCTCCTCCCCCTCCTCCTCCTCCTCCTCCTCCTCCTCCTGCTCCTGCTCCTGCTCCTCCTCCTCCTCCTCCTCCTCCTCCCCCCCTTTTCTCCTCGTACTCCTCCTCCTCCGCCTCCTCCTCCTCCTCTCCCGCCGTGGCCATCTTGGCTCAAGGCTCTGTGCGCGAGCGGCCCGCCGTTTCATCATTGGCATCGGCCCTCCCATGCGCAACAACCTCATGCGCGTTAGCCAATTCACCCACGCCGACCGCGGCCCGCCATGGTTCCGGTCGCTTAATCAATTTCCATGGCTCCCGCGGCCAACTGGGAGCAGCTCGTATCGTTTCTTCTGTGCTCCGCGTTCTCGGGTGGTTCATGAGCTTCGGCATCTGATGCAATTTTGTGAGCTACGGCACGCTGCACGTAAGAGTGGCCGTAGGCAAGAATGACCTGTGGTGCGCGACCTTCGGTGGCCGCGGGGAGGCCGAATCGGAGCACGCAGGCCGCTGCTGCCGCGTCGCGCGGAATCACCTGGGGGCCCCGGTGCGCCCGCACCAGAAGCCACTCCGGCGGAAGGCCGCTCTGGCGTGCAGCCGAGCTGCGGCACGCGACGCAGATCGGGATGCCCATATGGCCGGGTGGATGCAGTGCGTGAGCCGCGGCACGCTCTGAGCGTCACGTGTCCGGGCAGCGCTTTCGGGCTGCTCGTGCGTGGTGGCGGTGGCCCCCTCCGAGGACGCGTCCCGCCCCCTGCCGGGGCCCGGCCCCTCGGGGTGCCGAGGCTCTGTCCCCCCTTCCGCTGCCTCCCCCCCCCTCTCTCTCCCTCCTCCTCCCTTTGCCTCCTTCTCCTCTCCCCCCTCGTCCTCTCCCTCCCTCTCTCTCTCTTTATCTTTCTCCTCCTCTCCCTCCTCTCCCCCTTCCGCTCCCTCCCTTCCTCTCTCTCTCTCTCTCTCCTCCCTCTGCCTCTTCCTCTCCCTCCTCTCGTCCTCTCCCTCTCGTCGCCCTCCGCCGGCCTCCCGTCCCTTCCCCTCCATCGTCCTCTCATCTCATCTTTTGTCCTCTCGTACTCTCTCCTCTCGTCCTCGCTCGTCCTCGCTCGTCCTCTCGTCTCCGTTCTGTCTCTCTCTCTCTCTCTCTATCTCCTCTCGTCCTCTCGTCGCTGCCTCTCCCTCCCCCCCGCATTCCTCTCCCTCCTCTCGTCCTCTCGGAGACGGATACCTGCTTCCCTGCCTGCTTCCCCTTGGGGGGTAAGGCCGCCTTGGGCGTTTGGCCCTCCACTTGCCCGCTCTGCACAGCTCCTGCTGCCTTAGTCGCTCTTAGCGCGAGTCTTCTGTGCACGAAGGTTCTCTGGTGTCCTCATTGTGGATTACTCCTGCCCAGCCTTCTCCGCTGCTTGTTCGGCCCCTCACTTCCCCCTGGTCAGCGGTCCGCTGCGTGTTTGCAGCTTGCGTTCTCCGCACCTTTCTGTCCATGGCCGCTCAATCAATCGAGTTCTGGCTTCCGATTTGCAGAAGCTGCAGTGCGTGCTCCAAATCAGTGCCCTCCATCCTGGCCCCTGTTCGCTCCTGCTTCCCGTCTTCGCCTGGGTTACCGCCAACCCATTGGGTGTTCGAGCCTCCCTCGGACTTCGAGTGGCGCACGCTCTTTCTCGGCGGCTCTGGTCAATCTCATATTTTGGAGCAGGCGCTTATGAGACGATCTAGTCGCCGCGCTGCCCGCCTTTGTCATAGCGCAGCCATGCCGCCCCGCCGTTCGACGATGAGCTCCACCTCCTCCTCCTCCTCCTCCTCCTCCTCATTCATTGCCTTCCTCCTCCTCCTCCTCCTTCCTTCCTCCGTCCTCCTTCCCTCCTCCTACTCGTCCTGTCCCCTCCTCCTCCTTCTCCTCCTCCTCATCCTCCTTCTATCACGCGCCGGTCTGGCGGCGCGCCCTGCACAGAACCCAGAGCCTTGTCCTCCTCCTTCCTCCTCCTCGTCCTCTTCTTCTTCCTCCTCCTCCTCCTCCTCTTCCTCCTCCTCCTCCCCATCATCACAGCTGCCAGCTCCTCTTCCTCCTCCCTCCTCCACTCCCAGCTGCCAGTCACACGCGCCGCCCCGCGCCGCCATAGGTTGCGGGAAGGACGTGGCCTCATGACGCCCCGCAGGTACCGACGTTCAGAGCCTGCCTGGCACCGACGTGCCAGGGAGAAGGAGACAGCAGCACGTTCTGTGCTGAGGATTGTCGCCGCAAGGCCGCGATGCGATTGCTCGACCGCCAGCGCAGCAGCATGCCTCCAAGTCCTTGGCGAGGTCGCTGGTTTTGCTCGCGGTGTGGTTCCAAGCAGGATGCGTCCTCAGGCTGGTGCAGCAAGTGCTTCCCCGCAAAGTTACCAAGGCGTCGATGAGATCGGTATGTCTCTTGTGCTCCCTCAGAGGCACGCGAGGCCTCGGAGTCAGCTGCACGTGCAGTGGCTGCGCCGGAGACCCCTCCTCCATCATTGACGACGATGCCGTCTGTGGCTACCCATGCAGAGGCTGTGAAGCACAAGCTGTGGACGGCCCTCTTTCGGACCCCGTTGCCCGAGAGCAGCACCGCAAGAAGCTCAAGGATGCGATGCACGCCGCAAAGAAATCATTGGCAGCTCATTGTGCGCTTGGCGGCAGCTCAGCCCAGTTGGCAGACATGACGATCGAGCACGGTGTCTTGCAGTTCCTGCATCTCTACTCTTTCGACGCCACGGAGCGCGTCAACAACCAATAGGCCGACTTACACCAACTGGACCACCACACGCTTCGAAGAGGTGCAAGAAGCGGAGAGGGCAGCAGAGCAAGCGCTCAGTGCTGCCCAGAAGCAACGAGAATTCATCGCCACGGACTTGGCACGGGCGCAGACGACGCTCGTCACGTTCGAGGAGTTGGCACAGAACGAGGAGGCTTCATCTGCGCCCTGGCGTGCCTGAGGGGAAAAGTTCGGGGGGGGGCGGACCAGCTCAATGCTGGCATCGGCGATCGGCCCCCGATGGCGAAACCGCATGCTCCTGGCAGGGGTAGGCTGTCGAGTCTCCACCGGCGATCTATGGGCGATTGGGGGCCGATGCCCCCCCCATGCCGTTGTCACTGAGAAGTGCGCCCCGAGCCCCGGACTTGATCCCTCCGGCCAGCGCCTCGACGTGGCCCGCGGCGTAGACGAGCCAGCTCCGCGAGGGAACAGGGTCGCACCCGGCCCCAGACCACTGCCGCAGAGCCTGTCCCCTCCCCCCCGTATCTCGGAGCGAGGCGAGTTGAGACAACGGCAGCTCAACATCGGTGCCCAGACCCCTCTCCAGACGCACCAAGTGTCCGTGCTGCGTCCCGGCGTGGCAGCGAGAGCCCCCCCCCCCCCCCCCAAGACCAACTACCGCTGTCTCATCTCCAATCTCGCCCTCGTCCGACGAACCGTGCCCTCCTGGCCCCTGTTGGCGATGAGTGGGCGATCCGACGCGCCCCCCTCCTGAGCCCTGTCCCCACACTGGCATTGCCCCCTGGCTTCGGGGTCATGGCTTGGCTCTGCGGCAGCCGTGTGGGACTCTTCCGGGCACCCCGAAACGCTGTCGGCAAGACGCAGCTGCTGGAAAACACCCCGAGGCTGGAATAACCCGGCTAGAACCGAAGAAAACGCCCGAACACCTAACACCTTGAACGTGGAACGCGAAACTTCCCCTCCTAACGCTGCCCTTGAGACGGCCTCTCTCCAGACATGCGATTTCTTACCTTTGACTTCGAGACGCGGTCCGCAGAATTCCCGACCCTTTCCCCAGGGTAAGTGCTTCTTCCCGAACCGTTGTTGTCACTGTCCCGAAGCCTGGCCCTGGCGAAGGCAGATCACAGCCCAAAACAACGCCCCCCTGAGCCGATCCCCCCCCCTTCCCTGGGCCCCCGACGTCGCGTCTATTTTTTGGACGTGGCCCCCCAGAGGTCTGGACCACATCCTTCCTGGGGACCGGACTTTCAAACTTAGTAGTTTCTGGACGGTTTCGAGGTCGGGCAAGGGCACCCCGGAGCCGAAAGTAGCAAGGAACCTTCCGCCGTGCTATGTTCATGACCCGCGGGGATCTGGGAACGCGGGAGGCCGTTTCTGTTCAGACTCTGGCAATTCTATTTGCATTGAGGGGGGCGGTAGGGGGGCGGGGCGTGGCGAGGCCTGCAAGGGAATCTGGAGTTCACGCGACCTGGGACTCACTTGCACGCCGTTTCGGCCCACCATGACGTGAAGAGGCGTGAAAAGGCCGCGGAGGAGGGGGGGGGGCGGGGTGCACGTAGTGGCGAGGCGGTGGTGGGAAGTGCCGTGCAAACACTTCTCCGCCGGGCCCAGGAGAAGACACCCATGCCGTCATGATCTGATCATGACCCCAGGAGGTCTGGCAACGCCCCCCTGGCCTGGGCAGGACGGCGTGCGCACCGAGCCTGGGCCCAGGACGGGTCCGGCCAGGCTCGGTGTGGGTGCAGACGTTGGCGCCCTCCGAAGGAGGGGTCAAACCCCCCAGGGGCCCGCGCCGAGGCCCTGGAGCCCCAGGCACGCACTGGGCGCGCGACGAGCCCTCGCCTGCCCCTCGGACCCCACCTGTGATAGGCAGTCGAGGTGCCCTATGCCCCCCTCGTGGAGCGGACCCAAGCTCGGAAGGCCAAGCATACTGCAGGGGCAGAGGTCTGCTGTGCAGGCGCATCGGACGGCATCGACCGCACGTGCTTGGGGACGTCCCCGAACAAAAACGGGAACCTGCTTTTTTTCCATCGCTGCACGCAGCCAAGGCGACAGAGCGAAGCGCCCGTGCCCGCGACAGGTGTTGCAGAGGAGGAGGGCGGCCGGCACAGCCCGCCGCCGCCCGCATCGCCAAGCCATGCAGGCTCCTGGAGCCCCAGCGCGGCAGCCGCCCCGGGGAAGCCCTGAGTCAGGCCACGAGCTCATCGTGTTGTTACCATCAGGGGGGTGGGCTCTGCGGAAAGAGCCTGCTCCTCGCTCTGCGCCCGCGCCCGCCCGCGCTCGAAATCCTCCTCCTCCTCCTCCTCCTCCTCCTCCTCCTCCTCCTCCTCGATGCTACTCCTCCTCCTCGATGCTACTCCTCCTCCTGCCTCCCCGATCCTCCCCGATCCTCCCCGATCCTCCCCGAGCCTCCTCGATCCTCGACTCTCCCGCTCCCTCCTCCCCCGCCCGTGCAGAGCACCCGCCCCCCCCCCGCGGCCCCTTGACGGCCCCCCCGCGCGACGCGGCGGAGCCCGCGCGCCTCCGCCGCCCCGCCGGGCTGCCCCGGGGGGCGCCACTGCGGGTGCTTCGGCCTGGCGTCGCGGGGGGCGGCGCGCGGCGAGGGCGGGCACGGGACGGGCCCGGCGTCGTGTCCGCAGCTTGGCGGCGCGCCGAAGGGGACAGCAGGTGCGGGGCGGCGCGGCGAGGACAGCGCGGCGCCACGGTCGTTACCCTGGCGGAGCGCGCAGAGGCCTGGAGGGATGGGGGGGAGGGCCGCTCAGAGGGAGGCTACTTCTCGGAAGGCGCCGGCCTTGCATCCACGGGCCAGGCCCGCGCCTGCTGAGAAGCAGGGGCGTGGGAGGAGCACAGCGTCTTGGCAGTCCACCACCGTGCTTCCTGGCACGTGGAGGTGTGGAGCGCTGCCAACTGTGGTCTTCCGAGGGGCCCACCCGCCCCTATCCTCGCACCCAGTTGCGTGCACCGCCCACCACCCCTACTCCTGGGGGTCGCTGGCGGGGCGGCCATGGCGCCTCCCCCGGGGTGACGCTGCCACCTAGATTGCTGCGCTGGCACGGTGGTGGCATTGCCACAGGCAGCTGGACAGTGGCTCAGGATACGATCCAGGATTTCCACGAGTATCTAGCGGCCCTCGTTTCTGGAGCCCGTGCGAACGCTAGGGGATCGGGGGAATCGTGGAAGTCTTGACAATCTTGGAGCGTATCACTATCATCACCTCCTGCTCCTGTGAAAGGAAGCGAGGGGGCCGAAGGCGGTGGGACCCTGAGATCCTTGCGCAAGATAGTTTCCAGTCGGGCAAATTTCATATAATTTCGGGCCGCATCACCTGGGAGGGAGGGCGGGAGGGAAGGAGGATGGACCTGACATATGGGCGTCGCAATTTCTCCACAACGGTCGTCTTCGCCCGACTTTCGGTCCAGGGGCCCTCACATATGGATCTGGCTCGAGACAAGGCGCAGAGAGGTCGGGTCTATAATAGGGCTCCCGTCGGGGTTGCTCGCAATGCAATTCTTTTCTTCCCCATATCCACAGTGGGGTTCTTGTTTTCTCTGGACACCCTTCGCGCAGGAACCTCCCTCCCACTCTCCACCTCACCCACGCATTCACCACGTCATCATCACCATCGGTCATCATCATCATCACCACCACTATCATCATCATCATCATCATCATCATCATCATCATCATCATCATCATCATCATCATCATCATCATCATACTCAGTCACTCACCATCGATCACCATCACCATCGGCCATCGATCATCAGCACCATCAACAACATCATCATCAGCATCACCACCCCCGCCATCATCATCATCATCATCATCATCATCATCATCATCATCATCATCATCATCAGCAGCAGCAGCAGCAGCAGCATCAGCATCAGCATCAGCATCATCATCATGATCATCATCAAACTCCGTAGCACATCACACAGACACACTCTAGCTCATCACTCAACAAAATCTTCCTGAGGCCTGAGTAGGGGGGAAGAATCAGGCGCGAGGCTTGTCTGTGAGTGAATTGCGGGCAAATCTCAGACGGGAACCCTCTCCCTATGGGGTCCGCACTTCGTGCTTTTAATCCGAGCGGGTCATCCTCGAACCTGTGACGGTCGTCACTTTTGGGCTCCGGAGGCCTGACTATGGGAGAAGTATCAGGCGGGAGGCTCGTCTGTGAATGGATTGCGAGGAAGTCCCTAGACGGGAGCCCTCTTCCTATGGGGCTCGCGCTCCATCTTTTTAATCCGAGCTGGTCATCCTCAAACCTGTAAAAAGGTCGTCACTTTTGGGCTCCTGAGGCATGAGGATGGGGGAAGTATCGGGCGGGAGGACGCCTGTGAGTGAATTGCGAGGAAGTCTCAGGCGGGAGCCCTCTCCCTATGGGGCCCGCACTTCGTGCTGTTAATCCGAGCGGATCATCCTCGAACCTGTCAAGGTCGTCACTTTTGGGCTCCGGAGGCCTGAATATGGGTGAACTATCATGCGCGAGGCTCGTCTGTGAACGAATTGCGAGGAAGTCCCTAGGTGGGAGCCCTCTCCCTATGAGGACCGCACTTCATGTTATTAATCCGAACGGGTCATGCTCGAACCTGTAAAGGTCGTCAATTTTGGGCTCCTGAGGCTTGAATATGGGTGAAGTATCAGGCGGGATTCTCGTCTGCGAGTGAAATGCGAGGAAGTCTCAGGCGGGAGCCCTCTCCGTATGGGGCCCGAACTTCGTGCTTTTAATCCGAGCGGGTCATCCTCGAAGGACCATTTGGCTCAAGGACCATTTTGGCTCAAGGCAATTTGGCTCAAGTCTTGGCTCAAGAAGAAGCGGGGCCCATGATCATCCTCTCACACCCGTGTCCGGGATCATCCACACCCGTGTCCAGGATTATCCTCTTACACCCTCTTCTACGATGTCAACTCGCAAGTCCGGCACGCCAGTAAAGGATGTTTTGCAGCCGCCATCTGATGGTGTTCAACAAGCAGCTGGAGCACGGCCGAAACGTCCAGAACGTCCCGAGGTACATGCTCTTGCCACACCGCCGCCTAGAAATGCACTCAAACAAGCACGGCTTGGAAGTCCTGCCGCGCCCATGGAAGACGAAACAGTTCAAGGTGAAGTTCATAATCTACAGCCCCAACACCTACAATTTCCCCGCGGCGCCGCGTCTACAGGAACCGGGTCGCTCAACATTGGCGCCGAAAACGACGACGACGACTTGGAGGAAGACGAGCCGATCACGATGAAGGCCATGCGGAAGATGTTCAAAAAACACCTTGAGCCCACGATGCGGGCAGTCCGGAGTCTTGGGAACGAGTTCAAACATCTTCAAGAAACTGTCAATAAAGACATCCGCCATCTCAAAACGACCATGGAGGCAAACGTGGAGGAGAACAATATCCGTATCACAAACATGGAAAATGATATTGAACATATACAAGATCACATTGACAACCGCATCGAGGAGATTCGGAAAGAAACGGCAGCGCTGAAAACAAGTATCACACCGAGATCTACTGGGGCATCTTCGGCGACAGGGGCACATACCATATCGACACTCGTACTTGGAGGGCTACCACAAGATACGCTCGCCGATGCGGAAAAGTGGGTATCAAAGATTTTGGAAGACGCTGGATGCACAAGCCCTTCGAAGACCTATAACAAAAAGGCCCCCCTGAAGAAGGTTTCAAGGGTATGATATTCGTCGAACTGTCGTCTCCAGAACTATCCCAACAAGTCTTGCCTATTCTTCAAGAAGCGTGAGGACGACAACACCCAAGGCAAGGATCTCGCCAGGTATGGTGCAACGTGGACGCTCCTATTGACGAGAGGACTACCACTTCATTGTTATTAGGCCTTCGTTACCTTCTCACGCAGTGGGGCTTCAACAAGAAGTATGTCAAGGTCGACGGGGACACTGGCGTCCTCAAAGCTGGGGGAAAACAGATACTTAAAGTGCACGTTATCAACTGTAAGCTAAACTTGGAATGGTTAGATACCGAATGAAAGGCATGGGAAGATCTTCAAACATCCCCAGACTGGCAAGAACTGCAAAAGAAAGCTTCTGATCGTTTGGAGGCGAGCGCGGCCAACGCGGCCAAAGGGGCCAGAAAAGGGAAAACTAAGAATTGAAGGTGCCAAGGGCGCCGGGCTGTTTCACCTTCGGGGTCCGCTGACCCTGGGATTACTCCACATCCGATTTCCCCCGCGGGCAGAATGGGCAAAGATACCATCCATCCTGCTGGGCCGCATCCTCATAAACACCATTCTGGACTACAGTGCGCTACGTGGAATGTACGTGGTTTGACACTGGAAAAGGTTTTGGAAATAACGAAGCACATGGAGACATACAAAATACCTTTTATTTGCATGCAGGAAGCACGGAAAACAACAGCAGAAGACTACGTAGATGAGAACAGTGGCAGCCGCATCATTCTTTCTGGAGAAGATGCAGATGCAACATCTTGGTCTGGAATTGGCTTCATCATCTCTCCCAGTCACGTGCCTCTGGTACGATCTTGCAAGCAAATCTCGGAAAGGATCATACAATTGAAAATCAAAATTGGTATTCGTCTATTCGGGATCTTCGGCGTGTATGCGCCCCACAACTTGAAGCCCTTGCCGGAAAGACGCATGTTTTGGAATACTCTGGACACCGAGTTCCGGACGTGCTCAGCCAGAGCCGGCAAGCTTATCATGGGGGACGTGAATGCACGAGTTGGGCATGCAGACGCTGGGGAATCGACGACAATAGGGCCATTCACTTGGGGTAGGCGGGCCTTACATCAAGTCGAAGTTCTCAATCGGGATTTGCTCATGGAGTTTTGCTTTGGCCTCGAACTAAGATTGGCAAATACCTATTTTGAGCGGCCTCTGGAAGACGCCGTTACCTTCATGGAGGCGGGCGCCAAACCACTGGGGCCTATTACCGAGGACAAATACAACATTTTGGATTACATCATGTGCGATGCTCCCACCTTGGCCCAAATACGTAATTTAAAAACACACCGCGGCGCAGCACTGGCCACGGACCACTACCTGATGACAGTGGACATTCAGCGCGCTCAGCATGACGATCCATTGCCGCGCAAACCTCCTAGAGACAGAGATCTGCTTCGAGACCCCGCAGTGCAATCAATGTATGCAGAAGCATTTCTGAACGAGATTGTTGGCCACGCGAGTCCCCAGAACGTGGACGCTTTGTGGGAGCAGGGTGCACATGCAGCGCTAGCAGCCGCCACTGTTTTACCACGCCGCCAAGAAAAAGTAAAACGGCCATGGGTATCTCAACGCACATTGGCACTGATACAACAAAGAAGCAAAGCTCGTGCCAGCAACAATCGTCAAGAAGAGCGACGCTTGCTGAAAGAAGTAAGGCGATCTTGCAAAATCGATCAGACAGAGTGGATGGACTCAAACATAGCAGCGGGGCGCTGGGACGATACTCGGAGTTTCTGCCGACAACGACAACATAAGCAGGGCAGGCTTCAAAACTTACAGGGGCAATTGGTGGCAAGCCATGAGCGCGCAGACAAATTTGGTTGACAACGAGGCCTTGGGACCGCCACTTCCCGTCGACGAAACGGCTTTCACCGTGCAGGAAGTGGGGAAAACAGTACGGAACCTCAAACGGGGAAAGGCAACAGGACCGGACGACATTCCCGCAGAATGTTGGAAAGCCATATCACAAACATCTGGCGGGCTAAAGTGGGTTACAGAATTATGCAATTCAACATGGGCGGAGCACAGAGTTCCCGAAGCATGGCGGCATGCCACTGTGTGCACAATCTACAAGATCAAGAGCCCTCCAAATGTGTGAAAATTACCGGCCGATTAGTTTACTATGCGTGGAGTACAAACTCCTGGCCAGCCTCCTACTACAACGTCTACAACAGGCAGGGGCAGAAGACCGGCTGACCCAAACTCAATGCGGGTTCCGCCGTGGGCGTGGTACAACAGACGCCGTTCACGCAGTACGCCGTCATATCGAGCTCGCGCACGCCAGGAAAGATGGTGCAACTACATTTGTTGCCCTGGACTGGAAAAAAGCATTTGATTCCGTAAACGTCGAAGCATTGTTGACATCTCTGGGCCGCTTTGGGGTACCTCTGAACATGCTCACGCTGATTGGGAATATTTATGAGGCCAGGCGATTTTGCGTAGCCGACGGGGCCATCAAATCTTCTGAAAGAAAACAAATGTCTGGAATATCACAGGGGTGTCCGTCGTCGCCATTTCTTTTCGTCATGTTGATGACTGTGGTCCTGCGAGACGCCGTGAACAACCTGAGCGACAGTGACAAGTTCGATATGGTTTCTGGAAGTCTTTCGGTGCTGCTGTATGCCGACGACACGCTGCTCATCGGAAGAAGCCAAGCCAGCTTACAAAACCTCCTAGACAACATCGCTTTGGCGGGGGCGCGGGTTGGAATGGAGCTGCTCTGGGACAAATTCCAGATGATCAAGAGAAACAGCGACGTGACGTTGAGGACGCCGGCGGGGCAACCGAAAAACGAAGCATGACATATTTGGGTGCTCCTTTGTACAGTAATGGGCAGTTGGGTACCGAGCTAAACAAAAGAATAGGGGCAGCTTGGGCCGAATTTTCAAAGTATGACAAAGCATGGAAACACACTGCTTTGAGCAACCGGCGAAAACTGGATCTATTCTGGTCACATCCAAAATCATGTAATCACTGAACACGGCGTGGTTAAACAAAGCAGAAAGGCGAAGGCTGGATGGATTTCAAGCCAGATGCCTGCGACGAATACTACATATACCTCCCGCCGTTCTTACGCGAGTACCGAATAGCAAAGTTCTGGAACAAGCTGGCCAAAAACAGTACAGCGCGCAACTTCTTCAGCAACAAATGCTACTATTTGGCAAAATTGGCCGGGATCCAGATACAGACTGTCTTCGGCAACTTACTTTTCAGCCCGGCACTGTTCTTTCAGCCGTGGATGCATACCCGAGGAGGAGAGGCAGGCCAAACACGAATGGGCGAAACGACTACACAAGGCTTTGGTTGCTCATCTTGGCCCGGAACATACTTGGGCGCAGCGCCTGCAGGACCCCATCAGGTGGCGAAGTATTTCTGAACACATTGCACTAGAACCACGCGCGCGCTTCGCGCGCGCTTAGGTTCTGTCGAGTCACAGACCCAGGAATCCTCCTCCTCCTCCTCCTCCTCCTCCTCCTCCTCCTCCTCCTCGTCTTCCTCCTCATCCTCGTCCTTTCCCGAGCGATACAATAACAACTTGCGTGGAACCCCTCTCGGGCCCATCTTGGGGCTCTCTTGGGCCGCCTTTGGAGCCTCTTGGGGCGTCCTGGGTCTCTCGTGGGGGCTTCTTGGAGCTCTCTTGGCGCCTTCTGGAGCCTCTTGGGGCCGAAAGCTCGGAATTCTACAGTGGCTTTCTCCCCCTGGGACCCCTCTCGGGCACGCCTTGGGGCTCTCTTAGGCCATTTTGGAGTTCAATTTTGCCGTCCTGGGCGCCTCGTGAACCGTCTTGGAACTCTCTTGGGGGCCACCTAGGCCGTCTTGGGAGCCTCTTCGGACGTGTTGGACGCGGTGAAAACCCAACAGGCGACCATGCGAAAAGTATACGTTTTCCCATAGGAATGGGACCATTTTTGCTTCTTGGACCTCTCTTGGGGTGCCTCTCGGAACGTCTTGGGCTGATTTTGGAAGCCTTTTGGCGCCTCTGGGCGGCGTTTTGGCGCCTCCTGGGATGTGTTGGGCCGGAAGCTCGGAATTCGAGAGTGGCTTTCTCCTTCTGGGACCCCTCTCGAACTCGTCTTGGGGTTCTCTTGGGCCGTCTTGGGGCCGTCCTGAGCCACTCGTGCGCAGCCTTGGAGCGCTCCCGGAGGCCTCGTAGACCGTCTTGGGCGCCTCTTGGGCCGTGTTGGACGCGGCGAAAGCCCAAGAGGCGAACATGCGAAAAATATACGTTTTCCCATAGGAATGACACGATGTTTGTTTCTTGCACCTCTCTTGGGGTGCCTCTCGGAACGTCTTGGGGTGCTTTTGGGAGCCTTTTGGCGCCTCTTGGCGGCATTTTGGCGCCTCCTGGAGCCTCTTGGGCCGGAAGCTCGGAATTCGAGGTTGGCTTTCTCCGTCTGGGACCCCTCTCGAACTCGTCTTGGGGCTCTCTTGGGCCGTCTTGGGGCCGTCCTGGGCCAGTCGTGCGCAGCCTTGGAGCGCTCCCGGAGGCCTCGTAGACCGTCTTGGGCGCCTCTTGGGCCGTGTTGGACGCGGCGAAAGCCCAAGAGGCGAACATGCGAAAAATATACGTTTTCCCATAGGAATGGCACGATGTTTGCTTCTTGGGCCTCTCTTGGGCTGCCTCTCGGAGCGTCTTGGAGGCTTCTGGGACCTTCTTGGTGTCATGACAGGCGTCTTGGAAGGCATCTGGAGCCATCGGAGCGCGTTCCGAAGCCGCCTGCGAACGATCTTGGACGGCGTCCGGCGGTCCGACGAGCCTCCGGGCCCCCCGGGGCCCACATTTGTGGTCGGGGTCCCGGCCCCGGGCCCCCGGACCCGGTGCGCCGTTATATGTATACACCATGATGATGAATCCGATCGCCAGTAGCATTATGTAGCTTATTTTGTTTACATTACTTGCATGTGGTGCCTGGTGCCTTGACGTCCTTTCTGCAGCCCTCGGCCGGATACATTCCAAGTGAAGTCCGTATCATTCGCCGGCCAGTTGTCTTCCCTCCTTCCTCCTGCTCCTCCTCCTGCTGCCGCGCACGTTGTGTTTTTATGCGACCGCCGTAGCGCCGCCGCTCTCGCAAAGCGGTGAGAATCGGCTGGCCTTGTCTTCTTTCGCCCACGCGCTCCGGCGTATGGCATGAGTGAGTGAGTGGGTCATCCTCGAACCTGTAGCTGTCGTCACTTTTGGGCCCCTGAGACATGAGTATTGGTGAACTATTAGGCGGGAGGCTCGTCCGTGAATGAATTGCGAGGAAGCCTCAGGCGGGAGCCCTCTCCGTATGGGCCCACACTGCATGTTTTTAATCCGAGCGGGTCACCCTCGAACCTGTAACTGTCACCACTTTGGGGCTCCTGAGGCCTGAAAATGGGGGAAGAATCAGGCGGGAGGCTCGTCTGTGAGTGAATTGCAAGGGAATCTCGGGCTGAAGCCCTCTCCTTATAAAGTCCTCCGCACTTCCATCCATGTTTCTAATCCGAGCGGATCATCCTCGAACCTGTGAAGGTCGGCACTTTTGGGCTCCTAAGACCTGAGTATGGAAGAAGTATCAAGCGGGAGGCTCGTCTGTGAGTGAATTGCAAGGAAGTTTCAGGCGGGAGCCCTCTCCGTATGGGGTTCGCACTTTATGTTTTTAATCCGAGCGGGGCATCCTCGAACTTGTAACTGTAACCACTTTGGGGCTCCCGAGGCCTGAATATGGGGAAGGTATCAGGCGAGAGGCTCGTCTGTGAGTGAATTGCGAGGAAGTCTCAGGCGGGAGCCCTCTCCCTATGGGGCCCGAACTTCGTGCTTTTAATCCGAGCGGATCATCCTCGAACATGTGAAGGTCGTCACTTTTGGGCTCCGGAGGCCTGAATTTTGGGGAAGTATGAAGCGCGAGGCTTGCCTGTGAGTGCCTTGCGAGGAAGTCTTTAGGCGGGAGCCCTCTCTCTGGGGCCCGCACTTCATGTTTCTAATCCGAGCGGGTCATCCTCGAACCTGTAGCTGTCGTCACTTTTGGGCCCCTAAAGCCTGAACGTGGGGGAAGTATCAGGCGGGAGACTCGTCCGTGAGTGAATTGCGAGGAAGTCTCAGTCGGGAGCCCTCTCCCCACTGGGGCCCGCACTGCATGTTTTCAATCCGAGCGGGTCACCCTCGAACCTGTAGATGTCGTCACTTTTTGGCTCCTGGGGCCAGAATATGGGGTAAGTATCAGGCGGGGACCTTGTCTGTGAGTGAACTGTGAGGAAGGCTCAGGCGGAAGCCCCCTCACTATGGGGCTCGCACTTCACATTTCTAATCCGAGCGGGTCATCCTCGAACCTGTAACTGTCGTCACTTTTTGGTTCCTGAGGCTTAAATACGAGGGAAGTATCAGGCGGGAGCCTCGTCTGTGAGTGAACTGTGAGGCGGGAGCCCCTTCCCTATGGGGCCCGCACGACAGTGAAGGTTATTTCCAAATTAGCCGAAAAGATTTTCATGTGGCGTCTTTCCGTCGGAATAATTTTGCTGGCAACGCCGGATCGAAGGCGACCCCGACCCCGGTCCCGATGCCGACCCCGATCCGCGGGGGGCCGAAGGTGTCGGGAGGCGGGGGGCCGAAGGCCAGAGGTGCCGCCCAAATTCTGTCGTCCGCGACGGTGTCCATGGCCGGCCCGGCCTTGGTTTCTCCTTCTGGGGACCTTAATGGAGGCACTCGCGTTCCACTCGCGCGTCAAAGCTGCGTCGAACGTCAGTCGATTTGAGTCGACCCCTTGGGTCGATCGTGATTCGAACCTGCGTCGAACCTGAGTCGAACTAGAGTCGAACCTGAATCGAACTTGAGTCGAACTAGAATCGAAAAAATTTATCAGGTGGGCCCCAGGAAGGTCCCCCAAACGAGAAGCTAACCAGCCCCTGCCCCCCCGCTCCGCCCCCACCCCCTGAGACGAGGCTAAGACGAAGATAGTCTCGGGTGAGGGTAAGTCGAGAACCTCTGAGATCTGGCGGCTCTGGAGGATGTCTCGGGCGCCGCGGCCTTCTCAGAGCCCTCCGAAACGCCGGCCTGCTCTGGAACATATTTATCCTCGTTCTATCCCCGTCCCACCCCCGCCCCCGCGATGAGTTGAATCCCCGGCATAAGGGTTTCATCCCCCGCATAAGGCCGAAATCCCCTGAAACAGGTTGAATCCCTGGCAGAAGGGATAAATCCCCGGCATCCATCTGGATTACACTTCAAATGCAAGTAC